AGGGCACAAGAAGCTTTTAGATTCGGTAGAAAAGGTAGATATGGAAACTGTAGTAGTATTTATGATTACTTCTGCATATCAACATTAAATATTACTCCTCCGCTTATATCACCCATCTAGGTAGCGAAATAATTGTTTATAAGTTCAAGTGTAATCAAGTGGTTATAAGTGAATTGGACAAGGAAGTTCGGTTTAAGTGTACTATGTTCTAAAAACATCACTTATCTCACTACCATTACAAGATTATAACTTGCTAAATAATCTTTTTTTTTTTATGATTAACAATACATACTATCCTCATATACGAAATCAAAATCATCTCGTTCGTGTTTCCTTTTTTAATTTATCTTCAATAGGAACGCTCAAACCTAAATTTAGAAGCCATGTATAATATATCCATACGTAATGAACTACATGACCAAATTGGACCTAACAATAATGACTAAATTTATCTTACATGTAAGTCAATTTTTGCCAAGCTTCAATATTCTGTGAGTTGCAGTGGTTGAGATTATCAAAAACGTAATTATTTGCATCTTAGGTTATACCTGTAGCCAGTTTGAGTTCTAGAATTCCTGAAACATAAAGTCTACAGACTCTAAATCCTATATACATGCTAACTGTATATGCCTTTTTATTTTTTATTCGATTTATTGTGTCACTGGCACAAGCTTTTCTCATTGAAGATGTAACCGCCATTGATGTAACATTTATATTTGACACGTGCTTTGAAAATGAAAGCAATGAATAAAACAAGACATATTTAGAACATTTTCTCATGTACATGATATATGCCTTACAGATATGATTATATAAAACGTGACTGTCCTTAAAAAGGACAAATGTAGACAATTGCATAGTATAAAAGGCACATGAGTGTTTATGTTTCGGTAGAAAGGGTAGAAATGGAAACAGTATTAATATTTTTATGATTCATGCATAACCACATTAAATAATACTCCTCAGAATTTCTGTTAAAATATAAATTTTGTTTGCTGAAAGGTTATCGATGAAATATAGACTTTTGTAAAGGAATTTTTAAAGCAAATAGTTTCCTATGCTTTTTTTTTTTGTTGAAACGTTATATTTACTAGAACATAAATAGACTACAAAAATCCCTGTTTCGTGGTTTCCGTTGCTCAACCATAATTTTTGACTGATATTAGCCTAGAGTTCATACGATCCAATACGTGTATATTATGTTTCTTATATATTGTTAATTTTTAAGACGAAAATATTACGGAAGACCGAGTTTAAGTTATACATTGATTGATAGTTGGTTGCTTAACATCCAGTGACAAATATGTCATGCTTGTTTAGGACGAAGCTATGCACTGAAACCTTGTTACAATTATTAAATGATAATAATGAATACAATATTTATAGAGCGCATTATAAAATAACAACAATCACGTTATTAATCGCAATTCAGCGCATTACATCGAAAAAAAAAGTAAAATATAAAGCACCAACTAATACTTATCAATCAAGCAGATAAAAAAATGCATGTACCCTAAAATATATAAAAGGTCTAAAATGAAAGAAACCAACACAATGTCCTTGACATATTTAGTTGTAGCTCAATCATATATTGTTTTTCGATGTGTGTTAATTTTTATAATATTAACATATTTGTTCACGTGGAGGCGATGATAATGAATTCGCTGAACACTTGAACGGAAATTGATGAACTTACATTCGTCTAACACTATAAAGCAATCTACTTATGTATACTTAATGCCACTTGAAACCTCATCGAATTTATCATTACAGACTTCCCGAATTGTAACGAAGAAATTTTTGAAGGCTTGATTATGACGAAATACATTATTAGCAAACTTTCCTCAAACACAATAATTTGTTTATGGAATTATGCAGTGCACAAATAATCTTTTCAACTCTGTAAACAATGATCCGTTGAATATCATATATAGGCAAGTTATTTTAATAACTTATTTTATGCAGATGACGGAAATCTTTAGTTTTATTCTAATTTAATTTTTGCCTTTTCCTTTGGGGAGCCCCTGCACTAGATCTTGTGTTGCAGTATTTACACTACACGTCACAGTTTTACACATTCTTGATAATTGTGGTGCAGGAAAGAATTATTTTATTGCATCTTTCCTGGTGGCTTAGTTGACCCTTTTTCTAGGCCAAGCTATTGTATTATGTAATATGTTATGTAATGTGTTATCAGTGTTTTTATGTATTTTCATTCATTATTATCGTGTTGTACAGATGTATATATATTGTGTATTTTGATATGAAAGAATTTTTTACGAATAAGTTAAAATTTTGCAATTTACTTTCTAGTTTCTCCATTCATTTATACATTGCCCATACGATATCAAAAAGAACTTTTCGTCGAATTCTGACACTAACATCATATCAGATGGTTTGTTACGGTTGTAGGAAGATAGCGTAAAGGCAAGTTATTTTAATAACTTAATTTATGCAGATGACGGAAATCTTTAGTTTTATTCTAATTTAATTTTTGACTTTCCCGATGGGGAGCCCCTGCACTAGATCTTGTGTTGCAGTATTTACACTACACGTCACAGTTTTACACATTCTTGATAATCAACACGATCGATATTTATGTAAACAAGATTTTATTTGGGATTTTATCAATTTTCCCTCCCTCAATCCCCTTTTTTTTAACTCCTTTCCTTAACTTAGAAATTTGTTGTTTTGCCTAACTATGACATTTTTGGCTTGGCTTAGTTGACCCCTGTTCTAGGCCAAGCTATTGTATTATGTAATATTTTATGTAATATGTTATTAGTGTTTTTATGTATTTTCATTCATTATTATCGTGTTGTACAGATGTATATATATTGTGTATTTTGATATGAAAGAATTTTTTACGAATAAGTAAAAATTTTGCTATTTACTTTCTAGTTTCTCCATTCATTTATACATTGCCCATACGATATCAAAAAGAACTTTTCGTCGAATTCTGACACTTACATCATATCAGATGGTTTGTTACGGTTGTAGGAAGATAGCATAAAACATAATAAGTAAGATCTTGTTACACAGGAATGTCAATCAAATTTAGTCCCAGAAACATATGTAACTATACAATGTCATTTTAAGAGAAATTCGTTATTAATTTCCCTTCCAGTATGAACGAGAACTGCCCTTTATTAAAACTATTATTTAAATGTAACTGTACGCTCTTGGTTATCTTCTTCCCCAGAGTGATAAAGTTAGTACTTCGGTGGGAGATCTCAATAGTTGTGTGTCCAGTCTCGGTTAACGAAACCTTGATATTATTATTACATTGGTAAGCGATTTGGTCAAATTTTTCTGTTAGGTCAAATGCATGGTAAGTCAGGAATATGACAGTTGTTTTTCTTCACTTGTTCCGTTGATTGATAGCGTTTGATTTTGTCAGCTTCTATCGATTTCCCATTTTAAAATTTGCCCTGTAGATTGGTATTTTTGTTATACTTTTTTATTACTGGAGATTCGTATGCAATGCAGTTTCCTGAACTAGCATTTTTTATAAAGAAAACATTCGGGTCTCACCATTCTGTTTATTTATGGCAGTTAACACCATACCATTTTACTTCTTGCACTGTCCCCATCTTTTGTGAGACAAAATTTTGCAATATGGTTCAACAAAACTCAGCAAAGCACAAAACATCGATAAATTCTTTTGAGTTTAAAATCAGTATCAAAAGTAAAATCACAAAAACACCGAACTCCGAGGAAGATTCAAAATGGAAAGCCCCTAATCAAATGGCAAAATCAAAAGCTCAAACACATCAATCGAATGGATAATAACTGTCATATTCCTGACTTGGTACAGGCATTTTCTTATGTAGAAAAATGGTTGATTATTAAACATGGTTGTATAGCTAGCCAAACCTCTCACTTGTATTACAGTCGCATAAAATATCAAGTGATCTGTCATATAATAACAAAATCAACTGGTCTGTAGTGCATGCTTTTTAAAAAAAAGTGTGTACATGAGAAAAATACACATCACTTTATTTCTGATATATCACATATTTAACGAAATATTTCTTTTGTTCACTTATATACTATTTTTTCTATATGTTTTTGTTTGTTCTTAATTCAGTGTAACCTTATCTGTTTTATTAAGGAAACAGATATTTTTTGCAATATAGTTAAACAGAACTCAGCAAGTTTTGTGCTTTGCTGAGTTCTGTTGAAGTGAATAAGTTAACGAACTAACAAACTCCAATGAAAATTTAAAAAAAAGTCCTTTCTGAAAGGCACATTAAGAATGTGACCAGACTTATCATGTTTGTAAGTGCGAGGTTTCTTTCCAATATATTGTTTTCACAGGGCGTTGATAGGGATAAATTCGCAGAATACTTAAGCATAGACGATCACATTAAAGAAGGTTTCTTGGCCAATGCTGGTATGACTACTTCATACCACTTAACACCTTGTTAAATTAATTACTGAAGGTCTTCCAAAGATGCTTGCGCAGCAAATAATTAATAGATTTAAAGGATTTTCTAAAGTTAGATATTCTCAGAAGCATCATATGCATCCTGGTTGGTTAGCATAAAAGCATTGATGATTTCTGTCATTTCGAATTTGAGAAAAGACTGCAAAAGGTAAGTAGTTGCGAAATCTATAGATTATTTGCCATAATATTTTTATTGATTATAATTGAACCATTGACACAGTTATAATTTAAATGCTATTACATGTAGGCTTTAAAATGTTTGGTCAACAGTAAAATCGAGAATGATTTGTTATTTTAGAGCTGTTTATTGGAAGAAAAATGGTATAATAACAAGACAATTTTTTATTTTTATTTTTTTATATAAAATTATTGTTGGTAAATATTCGCCTATCACCTTTATTCGCACTTAATTCATAAGCGAGTCCAACTTGTTTTTTAATTATTATTTTCTTAGATAACTCCTTGATATATAACTTCAATGAAAACTGTTTCTTAATTGCCTTAGTTTTATAACGATTTGATTGATAGGAATTAATAATTTTTAATTTTCAGTGCAGACTTAAAGATAGCCCTTCAACATGGGAAGAATAATGATGATTGTCTTTGAATTGTTGTTCCTGTCTGCTGTCATGGCTTTTGATATGGTATGTATATTTTTATGTCAGATCATTTACAAGTTGGACCCATATCTGATATATGACAATTTTGTATTATTTGTATAATTTGTTTTATTTGTATTAACACATTTGCACAATTGTTAGTAACCAGCAGTTATTTTCATAAAATTTTGATCGTTTAACGATTGAATTAAAACCATAAGTATTTAGAAAACACTTCGGAAAAATGCCTGAAATCCCTTTTGAAAGACTAATGTCTTTCAAAGAGTTGCTGATAGGAATAGCAAATACTCAGGTTTAGCAATCTAAAGTATGTTAGTTCATAAAAACTGCAAATTCTTGTAATAAGCAGTGATATTAATTCGACACAAATTACTAATTCAATAAATGCATGTTATGTTTTTCCAGCCAAATCAGCATTTAAAAACTAAAAAAAAAGTAACTGTAAGTGTACATGTTACAGACAGCATGTAGAAATACGAATAAAACATTAGAAAATGAATACTTATTGAAAAATTAAAAGGTTAAACGGAAAATACCCTCCAAACTGGATCTTTTTCAATCTATTTTCTTCTCTATATATACAAGTGAGAGGTTTAGCTATCTATAAAACCGGGTTTAATCCACCATTTTCTACATAAGAAAATACCTGTACCAAGTCAGGAACATGACAGCTGTTATCAATTCGTTTGATGTATTTGAGCTTTTGATTTTGCCATTTGATTAAGGACTTCCCGTTTTGAATTTTCCTCGGAGTTCGGTATTTTTGTGACTTTACTTTTTTTTTATACCGTATTATTTCTGAAATCTATTTGAAATATCATAGTTAATAGGCTACATCTTGACAAAATTAACACTCAACATGATTAAGTGGTATCTTATTCTCCTGTTGATGACTTCCATCTTTTTCATATACTGACATGTATTTCGAGTAAATTGTCAACCGAGATAGCCTATCTTCTACTTGTCTTTCGTTTACTACTCTAATGTCAGAGTTACTTATTCCGTACTCCTTTTCGTGTGATTTGTTTTGTGTAAACGACTTATATAATATCATACGATTTATTTTAAGTGTTTGAAACTGATTCTTTTTAAATTGATGAATTTCGATCATTTTCAGAAATTTGATTATCAAATCATTGACGGGGAGGCAAAGTATTTAGAAAACATAGAAACCAATCTGGAAAAGAATATAGTGAAGATTCACACACCAGCACACAATGATATTATCGAATCATTCCAAATCCAAGACTTCCGTCAGGTTTGTAGAATAAACTTCGAGACAAGTAAAATCAACCTCCGGAGCACAGATCATATCCGTTCCGTTCCATACTACAAAAGACACAGTATATGTCATATCCTTAGTGTAGTATTGCGGAACTTATAATGAATGGATATATGAACTCTCTGCACCGGAGATTGAAGTTATAATACTAAAACAACGTCCTGCATCTTGTATTATGCAAAAAACAATAACCCACCAACATTTTCACGTTTACAAGTTTCATTTTATGATTCTTCTCCGGTCATGTGGTCAAATTGATTTAAAAGATGTCAATATTGATTCATTAAAACATTATTGGTAGCTTACTTGGTAACAACGACATTGATAATCCGGTCAATTTTACATACGAATACTTTTAATCTCTGCTTAGTTAACGTTTAATATTCTTATTTATATCATTTCCCTGGTTTCAATGGCTATTTGTTTCATTGGCAAGAATTACGTCTGTTTATTCTTATGTTGATTAACTTCCCATGTAGAAAATTAAGATTTCAACGGATTTTAATCTCGTAATATCGTAACTCACTCTGACGAGAAAAGTCGATTCATTCCATGCCAATTCAAATTGTTTAAATATTTACTTGCCTAAAAATTGGATAGTAAATTAATGACTAAACATCCAATTACTTTTTTATTGACACTATAGTATTGTGTATCAGGGTCAACAGCTGACATGTCTCCCATCCATAAATCAGTGTAGACTGAGGGATATAGACAGAGAACTCGCAATAGATGCTGGACAAATAACAGAGGCGTTTATTCATAGCTGGGTATGAAATAGTAACATTGTGTTCATAACTATGAAATATACTACGTTTGTATCTTCTTACTCTTCTGGAGCACTTGAGATCACCCCCAGTTTTTTGGTAATCTCAGGTGCTCTGGAAGGGTAAGTGGATCCTGCTGCACATATGGCACCCGTTACGTTTTACGGCAATTTCAACTTCATGTCATTTATTCTCAGTTTACCTATGTAGAAATGCACTCAAAAAAAATGGATTTTTTTAACGGAAAAAGACAACAATCGTATTACCTTATGAAAGCATTTAATGCAAATGAATACATGTATATATTTAGAAGAAATACAAAATATCAAATTTGGGTAATTTTTTAAGGATACAACTCGGAATATATAATTTTATAAGTCGTATTTCTGTAACGAGCAGAACTGAGATCGCAATGCATTTTTGATTTGCTATTGCCGAAAGGAATTCATACAAGTCATCACCTGATTTATGTTTTCAAATAAATAAATCATTTAGTTTTCATTTTCTATATAATCCTTATATAATAATGACAAATTTGTATAACCTCTGGCTTAAAACCTACGTACCTATTTGAATAGCTTTTAAGTGTAGGTATGGCATCATCGTAATTTATAAATAATCACCTGAAAAGTAGGTTATTATTATTCTATTGTCTTTTTTAAAAACATGCTCTTCTGTCCAGATATAAAAAGAATAGCTGTGTAATACAGACTACGCTTGGCCTTAAGCATCACTAAAGAGCTATTAACTGTCGAAGTGCGTATCCTTTGCAGTAAATTGGTAGCGTTAATTTTAATCTATGTGTAAACTCTCTCTCTCTCTTTCTCTCTCTCTCTCTCTCTCTCTCTCGCTCTCTCTCTTGTGTGTGTATTGCAATAATGCAACAATTAAAAAACATTATTTTTTAAAGAATAAAGGCGATAAAAGCATAACTAGTGCAGATGGGAAAGTTGTCACGGAAATGTACTATGCCGATGTTCATGACGTCATTCAACCTACTTTCCTAAAAGGGGCTGTAAAGGAGTTTTATCAGGATTTTGAATACCCACTGTACAAGGAAAAGAAGATACCTCAAGATGCTGAAGTATATAATATGACTCGCTCCACAGGTAAAAAAAAAGTTATGCGTATCAAATAAGAATTCTGGTAGCATTAATGAGTTTGTACGTCCCCAAGGTTATCTTTTTATTTTTTAAATTATGTATTTTCAAATATTTTGTCCTCGAACATCAGTGAAGAGACATGTATTGTCGAAATGAGCATCTAGTGAAGAAATATTGGTACCGTAAGTGTTTTATCAGCTACCCAGAAGTCACAGATATAGTCATTCTCTGTAAATGTACTGATTATAAAATATTAAAATCCTGAAACATTAAGGTTTCTATGCCCATGCAAAAATTACCTTAGCAAGATTCGGCACAATTTTTGAAAAAATTGTGTTTAAATGTTCAAATGTATGCATTCAATTTATATATGGTTACAAATATATGATGTATACTTGTAAAATTGTCACAGTGTATGCATGATGTTTTTGCTTAAGCGATTTGTGTTTTCTTAATTAAACGAATGATAAACTTTTGAACGATGAATATCCTTTGGAACATTTCTTGTTAAATAATTGATGTGATCCAGGGGATCTAAAAGAGAAAGCTTAAAGAGTTGTGGTACTTTATTTCAGGACATCGTGCTAAAAGAGGACTCGTCTCTTTTAATAATGACTGCAGAATGAAGGTTGTGTACGGTATTGATTCTGGACGGAGAAGCAATCATCTTAGAATATGTCAAAGGTAAGTGACACATTACAATGTCCCCTCGTAGCTACTTAACCCGAATAATTCAGTCCCTCCCAGTACTGTAAACCAACTTATTTTCGCGGATACTTTATTTTGCGTTAATCCCTTTCTAGTCCATTGCGCGATTTTCAAATTAACTTGATGTAGTTAAATAAGTTATACATATTCGCGACGATTTATATTCGCGTTATTGTTCTACTCGAGAAAGTCGCGAAAATAAATCGCTCGCGAAAATTAGTTGGTTAACAGTATTCGATCTCACCTACTTGGAAGGTTAATTGCGAGAGTTAATGAAGTTATCGTAGATCAGCGGAATATAACAACTGAATTATTCGGGTTAGTAGCTATTTTTCAATACTTACATTTTAGTTTTTCATCGGTAATTTTGAGTGGAGGGATTTTTAATTGGACAAGGGTTTTTACCATCATCTCGGAGGAGATGCTTATCTTACCTGACAATTAACGTTGGCCGTGATTGTCAGCCGAGGACACTGTTTAAAACATGGAACCGTGAATAAAAGCTTTCAATTTTATAGGACAAGAAAATTTGCTTTAATGTGTTTGGAAATTAATATTTCTTTGCAAGGACATGTATAATCATATATAGATTTGCCAAAAACGATTCAACAAGTTTGCGACGATCAGAAAATCATAAAGTTAGCTTGAAAAATTAGATAACATTATTTTCTTTGAATAAAAAGATATATTTTATTATCAATCCCTTAATCACAGTGTTTCAACCTGAACCTTCAGCAAATAACAATAAACCAATCAGAAAGTATCTCAAATATGAGAAAAGTTCCCCTAATAGTCCAGCGGATATCAGAATAATTGATCACTTTATGGTAAAAGTATGAAACTTGGCATAGTTAAAGATTAACGGGTATAGACAAAATTCAGATATGGAGCCACGATAAAATATGGCCGCCAAATTACAGATGGCCGACATAAGGTACTGAGGATATAACATCATTCACTTGATGAAGTCTTCCAATTTTCTTGAGTTCAGAAGATGTCACAAACTTAAGGAAATACAACTAAGATATGTCAATTGTTATTTTTTAAACCTATTTGGCTTACTGCTCGGAAAGAGCCAAGGCTCCGTGTTGAATACCGTACTTTGATCTATAATGGATTTCTTTAACAAATCGTGACTTGGATGGAGAGTTGTCTCATTGGCACTCATACCACATCTTCTTATATCTATATAATGAAATATTGAAAATCGTTTATTGAAAGACTTATCTTCAATCGATAGAAAAAAAAATTGCACTTTTTCAAAATTATGATGCGCATCATTACTTTTTCAAGACTACATTTATTTTGCTCACTGAATAAAGACTGAGGCTTAATGAAAAGGAAAGTGCGTTACGAGACAAGATCGATTAAGCAAAATTTAACAAATGTTTACACTCTTTGTTATGTAATAAGTTTTACATTATTTTTCAGACCAGAATATAGAAACGGAGCGACGGTATTAATAGATTCACATTACTTCACCACTGGTTTATCGATGCATGTGTTGTTCTTGGGTTACATCCATCAGTCTAGGGAACGGTGATTGTGGATGTATGAGTATGGGATGGTAGAACATATGAAGTGTAATACTTTCAATAATAGGAACATGCAAAATTATATTTTCATCTTAATAAAATAATTTCGCAACTGTTGTATTTTGTTTTATCATCATGGTTATTATCTTACTAGTGACGGAGGTCTACATATAGAAATAGTATACACGATACAAAATAAATGTGACCACCTTGTTACAACTGAGTGATTTGTAGATACAATATTCAAAAAAGCTTGAATTGAAATATGAATATGATTTTAGATATTGTTCAAAATCAGAAGGTTCACATTAAGCAATATCAAAATCTGAAATTATTACAATGAAAACTATTATGAATCTATTGAATAGTTGTATAGTAAGGTTGATACCAGTTTACTATAATAGTTTTTTGTCATTATTATATAATGTCTTTATACGTCCGGGTATATACTAACATGAACAACATGACGGGTGAAACACGTGAAGCAGGATCCGCCTACCCTTCTGGAACTCCTGAGATCACCCTCATATCATATGAAAATCAAGTACAATCCCTCCCGTTAGGGGTTTAGTATCATACCATCATAAAATATATGAGAAGAACACAACCCGTATCATGCCAACAACTGGTTTTAGAATAAATGTGTTTATTTCCGATGCAAAGACCCTACGAGTGAATCAATATTAATACCAAAATATGCAATCCTTAATGACTTGACAACAGTATCGTAACTATATCCTTTCCGAATAAGTCTGTTTTTGTTGGGGTTTCATCTTATGTTTTGTGTACTTTTGTTTGTCTGTTGGTCTTTTCTTGTTTTTGCCATGGCGATTTATTTTCGACTTTGAGTTTGAATGTCACTTTTGGTATCTTGCACCTCTCTTTTGTAGAATTTATCATAACGGAACGGATAATATCGAGAACGGAAATACAAATCTATCAATAAAAAGGATTCAAAGAACGTAAGGATTCAACATGATTTTAAAATGATTCTAACATAGTTTAGCAAGCATCTTTGTTTCGAGATTTTTACATTAGATTAAACATATTTGAAGCCGAAAATATCTTACCGCACCAGTAGCGTACATTTAGCATGTTCGCTTTGATTTCCCGAAAAGGGGGGTCGTTGGTTCATAGGTCAGACCAAATATCCTTATGATCATAACAAGTAAATAATTGCCAATAATTTATGTGACGGTTCATTCCAACACGACGGCAGTTGAAAATATTTTGACTCACAACATTTCAGCTAACCTGGCGCAAAGGATTATGTTAACGTACAAATATCTTCTCCACGGATTCTGCTGGTCCAATCTGTACCAAACCTGGAACTAAAAATGTTTTCGATTATCGCACCTTCCAACAAACATTTCAACCGTTATAGAAATACAAAATCTGATAGAAACAGAAATGTCAGAATGTCAAGACTAACTTCCATCCATTTTGATCAAAACTGTCATTTTTACCTTTTACTGTTGCAATTTTTCAATTAAAGTTATCAAAATCACCTTTTTTATGATAACTCCCACACGAAACACACTGACATATCTGCCTCTATCAGATTTTCTAAATGAAGTGAAATTAAAAATGGCAAAAATTATCAGCAGGAGAATAATCAGAAATGTGTCTTTGTAGAAGTATTCTTTTTTTTTAATTTATAGAATATGACCATTGAGAACATATTTTCATCACGTAATTATTACTATAGGCCCTAAAAATCATGTCTCTTGGCTAAAAGCAAATATGGTCATTTTGCAACCCATGTTAATCTCCATAAAAGCGCCAGTAATTGGCCCATGTCTTTACAGTATTTTGTAGAAATCTTAATTATCTTTGCATTTTACAATCGTTCGAATTCGCCAATTATATGCTTAACCTGTTAACAAGACAATGAAAATATGACCAAAATCATTTGTTACGTCGAAATATAAAGACTATTCACATCTTTGTCCTTTTGTCTTATGGATACAAGTATTTTCCCCTTAACAATAATACTACAGCTGCAACTTGACATACGAATTAATAGAAATAATTGTAAAGGGTTCCTCAGAACCCTGTCTCTCGCTCCTACGATTGCTGCTGTCAGTGTAAAAGTGTAATCATGTTGATTTAGAAATGAGTCCATATATCAGTACAATACAGAGTTTTAAAAAAAAATTTGGTCTTGGAGATTAGCTTCTGTCCAAGTTTCATAACAATCCATGATGGTTTACAAACTTGTTATGTCAACAAAAAAAAGTAATCCAAGGCTGTCTGTAAATTTTAACTGTAAAAAACTAATTAGTCCATCTATCTTTATCATAAAAAAACTTCTGCTAAATTTTCATAAAATTCTTTGAATATTTGACAAAGTATTTGATGTGTAACAAATTTGTAACTACTTGTTAATTATGAAATAAATAATATAAAAAAGAAGATGTGGAATGATTGCCAATGACTTAACTATTTACAAGAGACCAAATGACACAGAAAGTAACAACTATATGTCACCATATGGCCTTCAACAATGAGCATAGCCCATACCGCATAGTCAGGTATAAAAGATCCCGAAATGACACATGTAGAACAATTCAAACGAGTAAACTTAGTACAGATCTGAGAGTACTCGAAGTTACTGACAGCTAGTTCAAAGCCAATAACAACTAATAAAAAAAAATCATGCATACATTATCAATCAGTACACATCCAACATCCAGCGGATTTAGTATAAAGACGTCATAAATAGTCAGAGAAAAACATGACCTTGTGCAATGCCAAGATACAGGTATCGACAGAATGTAGATCCATGAAAGTGCATATGTATATAACTATAATATTTAGTTTGCTTTTAATTTACTGATAACAAAATCAATATTAATACCATTAAAAAAATATTCAAAGATCTAATTACAGTTTTGAGTGGTAACCTTTTAGAATAGATAAGTTAACCAGGATCGTTTCTAAATTTCCGGGCACGATAAAGAACATCTCCGTAACAATGAGGATGTGCCATCCCGTTTGAAATAAGTTTTACAGGTACACCTAAATCCATTTATCAGTAAAATACGGAAAAAAGAAATAAATATTTTCAAAAATTTGCTCTGGATACTGTATTTTGGACATTATCAAGCTTCTGTACACATTTCATAAAATTCCATGAAGGAGTGACAAATTTATTGATGACAGTTAAACATTAACTTCAGATTGAATCTGAATGATATAACTGTAGAAAAAAGTCCATTTAGCAGTAAAATACGGAAAATACAAAATAAATAATTTCAAAACTTTGCTCTGGATACTATATGTTTTGTCATAAACAAGCTTCTGTTCAAATTTCATCAAATTCAACGAAGGTAAGCCAAAGTTATTTATGACTGAAACCATTTAATATTAGACTGAATCTGGATGTTTACTGAAAAAAAATAAGTCCATTTATCAGTAAAATATAGAAAATTGAAAATAAGTATTTTTCAAAATTTTGCTCTTAATACTGTATGTTGGACATAAACAAGCTTCTGTCCAAATTTCATAAAAATTCGATGAAAGTTTTGCCAAGTCGCCATTGTTGACCTAAGAATAATTAAATCAAAAGTTTAAATATGATTAAACATGTTAAAGTGACAATTGTAAATGACCTTTTTGTCCAGAGGGAACACATTATATCCAGGAAATCCGACAAATAAAATCGTCCTTTTATTCAGTAATCTGAAATATGGTATTTGCTTAAAGAATCGGAAATATTTATAAAATCAAATAATTATCTCCCTCATGAATTGCTCTGGACTCGGTTTCACAAAAACACTTACGACTTAGATTGGTCGTAAGTATACTGAATTGTTCATGATTTACGATCAATCTTAGTCGTAAGTTTTTTGTGAAACCGACTCCTGATTTCTTGTTCGGTTTTGTTGTGCTTTGTGTACTATCGACTTCATAAGCTTTTTTAAGCTTGTTATAAGATCTTGTTTGTGTAAAATCTGGTATTCTCGTTTTCGTGCACCAATATATCATATGGTCTCTCAAAACCCGTATGGTACTTTATAACGTATTTGATGAGCGCGTCTTCAATCGTTCAGTTTAGGTTTTCAACAATACCATTACTGTGTATATGAATAACAGTCTTCTGACAATCTTTAATTCTGACTCAGTTCACAAATCAATTTTGATTCACCTTTTTTAAGTATCAAACTTTTCGATGCACTTTTCCCATTTTGGTTTACCTGGCTTGTTCATTCAAACTCCATAGCTGTCAAAAGACCTTGTCTCCCTTCAGTGCATGAGATATATCTTCCAAACATATTTCCTCTATCTACTGTTTACTTTCCTCACAGTCCTCTATGTCCATACCACGGATTTCAGGTTCTTCGACTGCTTATACGAATCGCAGTTTCTGTATCTTATATGTCTGTGAGTTGTTGTCGTGTCTGATAAAAAGAATAATAGGAATTGTTTGTTGAAACTTAAGGATGTTCGCTCCTTTTGTTTTTGAATTATTGCCAGAAATTCGGAATCCTCTGTTATTGTCCATGTAGTGACATTAAAAAATTTTGCCCACTAACACCTACTTTTCTTTCCATGATTTGGTTACATATAATTAAAATGTCATCTTTGAAAATCTTATAAGATCCTTATTATTTTTTCATCGTTTCTGAAAGAAAAAAGGTGCCAATGTTAAATGTATGAAAAATCTAGAGAGAATTATTTCCCGCCAAATTTTCAATGGCTTATATCTCGAAAACAAGCACACGGACCTCTCATTTTTTTCTGCTTTTTTAGTTTCTTTATTCATATACTATCAATTTATAACAGTCTTTTAAAAAGCTTGTTATTTTAAAACAGTAGCGAACATCCTTAATATGTTTCATATATCACGCAATGTCTGCAATCGAGCTTGACATTATTTTTTTTTAAATACAAGTGCCGTCTGGTGCGATCGAATTTGTAATTCACGGCACCTTTTTCCTTTAGGTTTTAATTTTACAAACTTAAGTCAAATATAGCTGATGTGACGTGAAGGATCAATATCATCAACAACTGAAGGCAATAGTGGTTACAGTTGGTGGTTATTGGTTAACAGAAAATATTGCTTGCATAATGTGAACAGAAAACAGTAGGGGATCGGCTTTGAAATAAAAGTTGTAACAGTGCAAATTGTAATATTTTAGTAAATGCTGTTGACAAAATGGTTGATTGACTAAAATGTACTTTCTCTGTCTTAAATTAATCATCCATCTATACCGCATATGAAAATGAAACAAAACGACGAGTGATGTTAACGCTGCAAAATTGCATACTCATCCGGAGCACCTGATTTCACTGCATGTTTCCGTGGAGTTCGAGTTGTTTCTAATATTTTTAATGTGTAGTGTTAACTGTTATTGTCATTTCATTCTACGATTGTACGAGTCTTTGTTGGTTATTATTTGATTATGGTAAATACCAAATGTCAAGAAACAAAACTTATTGCAGAGATTCCACTTCCAACATTATATTGTAATGTCAAACAGATATGAAAAATTATTCGTACAAACTCTAAAATTATTGAAAATCAAAGGTTATCATAACTGTGTCCTGCATAAATTAACACTGATTTCTCACCCCAAACTGTCGATTTAAATAAAAATAAAAGATGAATTTGAAATAAACCTTTTGGAGTGCAGTTTCTGAAGTTTTCATTTTCGGAAGTATCTTACCAATGAATATAAATGTAACTGTCTTGGCATTTTTCCAGTAGGTACGAGCACTTATTGGCCCTGCTATGTTAAATTACGCCATGTCCTCATAATCCATTTTTAGATTAGGTTTATAGTGTGATGCCATACATCTTATCGCTATTCGTCCGCCATTACTGAACGACAAAAAGGTTTCCGATAATTTTTGAGATCACAATAGAAAGTATCGGACGCAACAATGCAAAAGTGATTGTTGTATGACATCAATAGTTCAAGCAGAGCAGATTCTCGGGTCAAACGGCGCAGATTCCCAAATAGCGATAAGGTCTATTCGGTAGGGAAATGTTTTGTGCAGCTATTTTATGAAATGTCTTTATAACTTTGGTAAATAGTCAAGATGATTGAGGAGGAAGTTTGGGTGTGTGTAAATGACTTAGCCTTTCCTGCTACACATGTGAATCCCCAACTATGTTTGTCAAATTTACCTGAAAAATCATTCACTTCAGAACCCATTGGTCTGCCACAGTCATAATCAATTCAATATCCCCCGTCAGGTTTTTTGGATCACTCCGAGTGGACGGCTTATTTTTGGAAGTGTATTTACAAAGACATGATCTCCATTCCCAGTTTCTGTTGTTTGGCCTGTTCATTAATGAGGCTACTGGGTTTCGCTGAAGGGTGATTTATGAGCGAATATTTTTTGGAATGGGAACATTAATATCAAAGTTTTTCTGTCCATGCAGACATATAATGTATACACAAAGACTTAGTTTTTCGTATGCTAAGCTGGATGTTTATCGGTACATGCCGGGATACTACATACATGCTCAAATTTACAGTGAAGCATAAAGCAGGCCTTACGACTGTTTAATTTGTTGCAAATCAACTTACCCCCCTGGTGTATGAGAAGCATACGTGATAGCATGCTGCTTATTGGTCATTACCTAAGAGCCCTGAGTATGACGTGCTGAAGTTCCCGTCTGCCTTTGACAATAAGAAATAGGCTTCAAATAAACTGATTTATTACAATTAAGTACTTTTAGAGATTTCCATAATCTTTTTGTCGATTATTTATAATTTGAAATAAGCTAGTCAAACTACACATAGAAAATACATTTGTATTGTTATTATAATGACTTTAAAAACGATTTTGCGTAAGACAAAAATTCGGTAGCATTATCTGCATTGTGAGTTTCTATTTTGTTTGCAATCGAATTAACAATAATATCAATTGTATTTGCTTTGTCTATATTTTGAATATCTTTTGCGATTCCCAACAGAAGCCTGAATTTCAGTTCAGCAAATGGACGTGTGATAACATCACCAGGTGGCGCTATGTTTCTTTTCAGCCATGACGAATACAGACCTACAAATTCCAACAATAAGTTACGGATTGCCGAATTAATCATTTCCGTATCTTTTGGTGATTTATTCCACTCTGATTTACATAAATCAATCAGTGGGTTGAAAATGTCTTTTGAAGGATGCACATAAAATCCAAAATATTTATGAGCCTCTGTAAAACTGAATAGAAATGTCAAAGGGTCTTTAATACACACTGCTAATCTTTCAACGACATTGGAGAGAACTTTTGACGAGATATGATCGACCATATTATTTTCTGGTATGAAATAGTGTCTTAATTCTTGTCTGCAAAGACTACATTGCAGACGATAAAGAAGCATTAAGACAAAATATCCCATTCTGTCATCTGTCCAGTTATCGCATGGTATTTCCTCGCATAACCAAAACATTGTTGTTTTTAAAAGATATGGAGATATACATTTGTCGCCTGCAAATGCAGCCTTTAGGAAAATTTTTGCCATTATATAACATGCTCTTTGAAACACACTAAGACTTTGCGCAAGTATTCGCTCTGGTATTGTAAATGAGTATCTCCATTCGTTTTCTGAATTGTCGCTTTTAGAATGACCGACAGGAACTAAATGAATTGCGGAGCACATTATTTTGTTGATCAAATCCATAGATGGCCAGTTACAGCTTCTCTGTCTTACATGCCAATTATTTGCCGCTTGAGGCCATGAACCCATTTTTACGGCTAGAACAACATCAACTTCGGTACCTGCGATTACTGTAGTTTTCGCCGCTGCCGGATGTTCGGATTTTATTTTAAAGCACAATGCTGGACCATGTGCAGATTTTTCTGTGACACTTGTTAAAGGTACAACTTTTTTATCGATAATTTCATTGACCGGAATATTTATTGTAGCTTTGCAATCGTTATTGCGCATAAAGTGCACTTTTCCGGAGCAATCCGTATCAAATCTCACGCCGAATAATTGTTGATCAGCGACTGAAAACAGTTTAACAAAACCAGGATGAGGCGCATCTTTTACTTGAAAAATCTCATGATGTTGTAGTTCGGTAATTGAAGCATTTTTATCTATGGCAATGATACCTGAAAGAACTGCAATTAAGTCAAAGTCGGACATCAGATAAACATAATTGTTTGGTTGGTTTGCTGTAATTGGAATTGTAAATCCTTCCTTTTTACTACCGGCCCACAAAAATCTGTCAATTTCTGGATATTCTGTCTTTATTAATGTTTCCGAAATATCATCATTAATGTTCCTCCTGTTTGTTGATTCGTGGACAATAGGTAAAGGAAGTGTATATTTGAATATAATATTATACAGATCTATGTTATCCTGACTTACAATTTGCTCTAAACATTCCATTATTGATTTCAACAACGGCTGTCTTTCATAAGATGTCACTGTAGTAAGACATAATCTCTCAATTGCCAATCACTTGAATTGATTCAATGTTCCTGCATTTAGCACGCATATTTTATCCAATTTGAAATCATAATGGTGCCTCGTCGACACCGAGTTTATATAAAACTATGTGGAATTTTTTTCCACAAACAAGATTACGTATATCATATTTTAAATAGCTTATAATTATAAATAGATCTTATGGATTCTATTCAACATACCAACAATTATTGTTAATCGTCTAGCGTGTCAATTTGAAATGAATGACTTTTAAATACAGTAAAAAATTCACACTATACAAATATATGAAAAAATATTAATAACAAACATGAAATATTTTGGAGAAAATTTTCATTCGTGTTTAACATTGAAAGACGGGTCTTGGCATAAACAAGAACTACTTCATTTTGTTAAATAGCAGACAATTGATTTTTTTATTTCATGTTTGAGGTTTATTTTAGATATACTAATAGGCAAACGTGTTTGAAATATATATTAACAATGATTTCATTTCCTGTCTGTATAGAATGGAATTATTCGAAATGGGGAGTACATAATAATGCAAGTGCTTTGCATGAATATATAATAGAAGTTATAGTTTTGTCAGAATATATACATGTCGTAATATTAATGATTTGCTTTGCAGCAACATGTATATTCAAGTTAATTACTGCGGTAATGTAAATTAATTCTTCTAGCATTTTCATCAGTGAAATAGATTCATTTGAATAGTCGATAAGAAACTATTTTTGTTTTTTTGGGTTTTTTTTACGAAATCGGAAAATATAATTTCAATTTTGAGTTACAACAAAAATAAACACACAAACAAACAAACAGATAATTCTGGTGACAGCTGCTAAAAAATTGATAAAATTAATTAAGAAAACTTAAATAAAATATTTATCATTATCTAAATCTGTTGTTTAGCTTAACTTTGCTTTCTAAAGCTGTCTATTATACTACTGTTCATTATCTATGTTGATGATAGATAAATGAATATGAGAAAAAATAAAATAGTTATTACTTTATTAACAAATTGCTATACTTTAATTTGGTTCATATAGGGAACTGTTTTAATATTCTTGTCAACCTTGCAAATGTAAGTTTTTGGTAATTTATATCAAACTTGCTACACATTATTAAAAAAATCACATATTATGCACTAGATTACATTTCGCCCTAGCATTTTTCATTGTTAACAAAAACAAACTGATTTAGACTGTCGTGATTGACATGAATATCTAAAGATAGAATTAGACTGAGTGTCAATAACAGCAACTCTTTGCTGCTCAAATGGTCAACCATCAAGTTTTATCTTTACTATTTGTGGACATAAAAAAAATTAAGACGGCAAAAATGTAGTCGCACTATTTAGGGCGTAAATGCATAGTTGACTAATGTAGGGTTCTGTGTAGTTTTAATATAACGAATCATCAAAAGAAACCCTGTAATATAATAATACATTTAATAACATCATATATAAACTAATTCTTTCGGGTCGGTAGCTGATAGAGGGTCGTAATGGGGGTACCTGCATGACGAATAACGGTAAAAATTCTTGACAAATGACGTTAACGGTAATTTTTGTTGCATGACGATAAGATGTACACTTTCTTTTAGACTTTAAAAAAATCGACTGATTTGACGAATCACGCTAAATTTTTTTCCAAAAATAACTGTAACGATAATTCTTGAGACCTCTGACGAATCACGATAAGGATATTTTGACGAATCACGGTAAAATTTTAACCAATTTGACGTTAACGGTAGCCGAAAATGACCGTTTGACGCCTGACGATCAAGGGCATTCCTACCCTCCTGATAATTGTTGGTTCAATGTCTAAATCGTTGTAACTTTTGACAAGCAGTGATAACTGTAATATAGCTGGTGAATCATGGTACGGTATTTCGTTGTCTATGTACCGGTAGACGGTTATTGTGATATATGAATATAGTGGTACTGTTTTGGACTTTATATGCCATATAATATGTCTCTATACTTCTGATTACTCCAAGACGGTTGCTGTTATTCGTAAGCTTCTCTATTTGTTTAATACATCTAAGTGCTAGGTACCATGGTGTAGTCAAGCTTCTTTCCTGTTAAAATCTACCTACTATACTTACCTTTAGTGTATCTATGGTGTTTGAAAGTGTGTTGGTTCCTAATAGCAGCGTAACCTGCTTGTTGTATCTACTGTCTGGTATAACTAGAAATACACATGGGTAATCTTGATGTTGACCTGGTATCTGTATATAAGTCTCAGTATGATCAAGGTATGGTAATTGCTGCACCCTCTATATCAAGAAAAGTTTCAATCTCCATTAAATGTGTCTGTATGTGTTATTCAAAGAAAGACTGGCTGACGGTTGAAACTATTGAGCCGGTATCTAATAATGCTGATGTTTCTATTCCATGTATAAAGTAAAATCACAAAAATACTGAACTCCGAGGAAAATTAAAAACGGAAAGTTCCTAATCAAATGGCAAAATCAAAAGCTCAAACACATCGAACGAATGAACAACAACTGTCATTTTCCTTATATATATTTATGTCTTTCGAATCCAATCTGGCATGGATTTGATTAATCAAACCTTTAATTTCTTGTAGACCTTCATCCTCTTGTTGAGTTGTAATAGCGTTTTTTATCTGTGTCTTGGCATCTGATGTCTGTGTTTCACTTCTGTTGCAATTGTCACTCTCAATATGCCTTAAAGCTACCCGTAGTCAATCAAAATATCCAATAGTATCATACATAATGTCCTGATATATCCTTCAGATGTGGTTTCAATCCTGTCCAAATCATTTCATGCAGCATGTTATCCAAATATTGTCGGCGTAGAAGTCCTCTTTTTATTGATTTTCCAATAATTCCTTCCAGTTTACAACTCCATGCTGTTACGCTTTCTGTTTCTTACGTTGTCTTGAACCATAAAACTCAGCTAAAAGCTCTTCTTTCTTGTCGACGCTTCCATATATGCTGTTTAATTTCTGGATTATGTCCTTAACAGTGGTACAAGTTGTGGTTGTGGATTTATAGTAGGTTCAGCTTTCTGTTCCTTGAATGCTCCTTGTGATATCAGATATTCCATCATCAAATTCTTTAGTCCTTGGTTTTGCTCCCATCTATTCAAACATTTCGAAAGTCTTCATCATCTCAGTTGTAGGTGTTGTTTGACTTGTTAGCTGTTGCGCAACAATTTCTTCTTCCTTGTACTTAGAAGCCATGTTGAGTAGAAACTCCAGTGTGAATATACGAGACAAAATCATAATCAGACAATACTGAAAAAATTATAAAATTATGTAAATATTCGCGTACAAAATATCAGAGTATAGCCATAATGGTCGGATAATCAGCGTATAACAGGCGAATCAAAAGGTACGACAACTACGGATAACAAATATCTATATCTAATATACTACTATGAAACTCACTGTATAAACTATAGTATACTATACTATGCTCCAAGCTCACATGTATATCACCAAAATATGATGATACTGGATCAAAGTCCAAATCTCATCTGTCCACCCAATACCAATACTCAGTCTAGGATAGAATTACTCTAAGAACAAAAATATCAAAGACCAGAGAGTAGAAAAGTTAACTCCAGATTACTAGTACTAGCCTGAGACAAACTGTATAGCTGGTAGAAACAGTCTCAAAAATGAGGGGCCTGATGGGGGGGTCTCATCACGATTCGCGAGTTCATTTTTTTGTCAATCACGATTCACAGAAAATAAATTTCCATGATCACGGATCACGAAAATATAAAAAAAAAAATCTGTAGAAAAACGGATCACGATAGCGAAAATGCGCCGATCACGAAGAACGAAAATAACCCATCAGGCCCCTCAAAAATGGTAACTAATAATACCGACAACTAACTAAAATCTCACCCAAGTGTAAGTGTACAACTGTTACTAAGTATGTGTGCAGAGATAATGATGGGTTCACATGCAAAGGTATAAGGTATGGTATCACCTATATAAAATGCACTACAACTCTATCATATACTAAGATTAACACTATGTTTATCAAATGCAAACTTATTTATCACCTTTAGTTAGTACATAAAAAACATATATAATAATATTCAAAAAAAGTCTGTGCTGAAAATTCTATGTCAAAATCAATAATATAACTAGGCTACTAAGTCAATATACATACTAATAAAAAATGTCGTTTAATAATAATTCTTATGTACATTTAACTAACATCACATCTCCACAGCATATACAAATAAATGTTGCGCAAAGTTACTAAAAAAATAAGTAAAGGCATAAGTAATATACCACTGCTCAATAGTCATCAATCGATTAAGAGAAAACAAATCTGGGTTACAAACTTAAACTGAGGGAAACACATCAACTATAAGAGGAAATCAACGGAACAACAGAAGCACTGAACTGCAACAAAACAAACGCCAACATAAATATAGAAACGGAATATTTAGTAACAACTGTCATATTCCTGACTTGATACAGGACATTTTTAGAAAACAATGGTGGGCTGAACCTTGTTTTATGGCTAGCCTAAGCATTCACCTCGCATTAATAGGCATTTTGGTTACATTTTCTTAGTAACAAGTATATATATTAAAATACAAATACATTATTGCAACGTTTATATAAACTTCAAGAAATTTTAAAGCGGTTTGTGTTTGTACTGGCCGACAAAGCAGCCAACAATGTGGTGGTGGTATGCCGTAAATACTACACGGAGGTTCTTAAGAATGAAATTTTAAATTCATCTACGTTCAAGTCCGTGCGCTCCACAGAGAGTCATATAGTAAACAAACATATCATAACCACATCACAGCTTAAGGCTTCTTCTGAACATTTGAAGGTCCCTACTATGTATTGGTTACCTAAACTACACAAAAAACCAGTAAAATATTGTTTCATCTCGACCTCTAGTAAGTGTTCTACAACTATTCTTTCAGTGCTTTTAACAAGTTCTTTAACTATTATCAAAGAACTTATCATAAACTTTTGTAATAAAATATATGAAAATAGTGGAATTAACTTTTTTTGGAGTGTAAAAAATTCTTTGGTTGTTTTAGAAAATTACGTGCTTTTGATGGTCCTTTCGATTCTGTTGACAATTTTGACTTTTCTACTCTTTACTCTACTCTTCCACACAATCTTTTCCACAAAAGTTTTACTATTTAATTAAATTTTCGTTTGGTAAATCTGAATGCAAATATATTTGCTGCAATTCATTTAAAGCCTTCTCCTCTAATGAGAAAGGTAAATATGCTAGATATACTTACTGGAGGAGTGATGAGAGGACTGGAGCTGTGAATTTTCTCCTTGTATGTACGTTTCACAAAGTTTATCGACAGGTTGTAGGTATTCCTATGGGCACTAACTGCGCCCCTTTAATAGCAGACTTGTTTTTGTACTGTTATGAATTACAGTTTATGACCAAACTCAGTAAAGACCCGTCTAAATTGCATTTAATTGATAAATTCAACAACACTTACCGTTATCTTGATGATATTTTTTAGTTGAAGTTCTAAAGATACTGCCGAAATTTACCCAAATGAACTTACTTTAAATAAATCAAATGTAAACGGTAATAACTGTCCTTTTCTAGATTAAGATATTTCGGGTTTTCAAGGGAAACTCCACACTAAAATTAACGACAAAAGGGACGATTTTTCGTTTCCTATTGTTAATTTTCCTTTTTTGGATGGTGATGTTCCTTTGGGAAAATCTTACGGTGTTTATATATCACAACTCGTTCGCTATGCCCGTGTCTGTTGTGACGTTTTTCATTTTAACGAACGTAATCTATGTTTTACTGGTAAATTATTAAGCCAGGGATTTCGTTACCACAAATTACTTAAAACCTTTACTAAATTTTTCCATAGATATAAAGATTTGGTTTTGAAGTTTGGTTGTATCTGCTGAAAACTTATTTCAAACGGGATAGCACATCTTCATTTTGTACGGAGATGTTGTTTACCGTGCCCGGAAATTTAGAAACTATCCTGGTAAATTTATCGATCCTTTAAATAAACTTATTCTAAAAGGTCACCAATCCAACAATGTAATCAGATCTTTGAATATTGTTTTTATTGGTATTAATATTGATTTTGTCATCAGTAAATTAATAGCAAACTAAATATTATTGTTATACCTGTATCTTGTCATTGCACAAGGTCATGTGTTTCTGTGACTGTTTATGATGTCTTTACACTAAATCCATTGGATGTTTGATGTGTACTGATTGATAATTTAGTCTTAGATGCATGATTTTTTTATTAGTTGTTAGGGGTTTTGAACTAGCTGTCAGTAACTGCGAGTACTCCCAGATCAGTACTTAGTGTGTATTTAATTGTTGTTGGGATGTACAAGTACCCGGCCACGTCCACTCTGTGTTTTTGTTAGATGTATTTCTATTTGTATTCATCTGATGAGTTGAGCCTTTTTCAACTGATTTTTATAGTTCGTTCTTATGTTGTACTGTTACACCACTGTCTTTATAATGGTTAGCGGGAGGGTTGGAATCCCGCCCACTAGTTTAATCCCGCCACATTATGTATGTATGTGCATGTCACAAGTCAGGAGCCTGTAATTTAGTGGTTGTCGTTTGTTGCTGTGTTACATATTTGTTTTTCGTTCATTTTTTTGTACATAAATAAGGCCGTTATTTTTCTCGTTTGAATTGTTTTTACATTTGTTATTTCGGGGCTGACTATGCGGTATGGGCTATGCTCATTGTTGAAGGCCGTACGGTGACCTATATAGTTGTTAATTTCTGTGTCATTTGGTCTCAAGTGAAGAGTTGACTCATTGGCAATCACATCACATCTTCTTTTTTATAATTAATGATTTCAGTTGCTTAGCATTATACATTATCCATGTTATTCAATGAGAAACAATGGTTTCATAAACAGGGTAATTTTTACCATTGAAATTTAATTGACAACATTTTTTTCTTTCCTTTAGATCTGCAACAGTGCTAGATACTTAGTTGCTTATCATAGACAAGTGGGAAAATATAATTGTGTATCATAAATGACAATTTAAAACATAAATTGAGACAATCGTTTTTAAAAATTTGTAAGGGTTCCGCGGAATCCAGTGTCTCGCCTACTTTTGCTGTTGTCTATGTTTTCAGTGTGATAGGGGAATGCACATAATATATTTACAGTTAATGAAATAAAACGTTTGAAATGTATGAAAAAAGTTATACTTGTAAAAAATGAATACAGTATGCAATCAAATCTATAGATTTATAAGAGTTGAAACATAAATTTATTGAATGAACAAATGATAAAGAAGATAATTTTTACATTGCTTGATGATTTATCACTTAATTCGCCAATAAAAATGCATGTAAATAGAAGATGCAATTACAAAATTGTGTTCAAAATAATTGATGTAACTAAAAAGGTAGAAAATATGTGCAAATGAGAAAATTGTGTGTTATAGGAAATATGTGAAGCCGACGACCACGGAATGTAGGATTGCTATGTCTCGCTTTTGCGACAAAAGTCATAGGCTCAATAAAAATGGGGGGAAAATTATAAAAAAATTTCCTCTAGATACCATCTTTTGATTGTAAGAAGCTTCTGTCGAAGTTCGGTAAAAATCAAGGATGGTTTATGAATCTAATAAATGTTTGAAAACCGCTTCAGATAGAGAAAATTTGACAGGAAGTATAAATGTTCAGAATGTTGATTGATTGATTGATTTGTGTTTAACGCCATTTTCAGCACTATTGAGCTATTTTGTGATTGTCGATCTTTATTGGTAGAGGAAGCCGGAGTGCCTGGAGAAAACCGCCGACATTCAGTAGTAAAACTGACTATCCTAGTCAATTCAGATTGGAGTCGAGCACACCTGACACGTGCGGGTTTCAAATTCACAACTTCAGTGTTGACAGGAAAGTAATACAGTAGTTCCGACCACTTAGATCACTCAGCCACTAAGGTCGTCTTCAGAATGTTGAGAAATTCCTACTTCTGAATGTGAGTCAGAGTTTCTGCAATACTGTACTCAGCTAATGTATTTATTATTGAGGCAAACTAAATTGCAAAAGAGGGTTATACAAAAGATCATTATGGCAAATATTAAAAAAAAAAGTCCATTCATGGTATTTAGACAAACTACAAATATTGTTTTTAAGATTAACTAAACAGATAAAGATGTTGCTCATTATTGAAGTGCTAACAGTGACCTGTAGTTGTTTACATTCTTGTTCTTTGAATAGTTTGGCACTGTTTTCTTATTTCTTATATTTTAGGTCAAAATTTTAGTTTCAACATGTTTTTATTTAACATTGTTTAAGGTCATTTGTTTATGTTTTAACATGTTTATGGCATCATCAAGATAAATACATTTTGTGCTGGTAAATCATACTAAATACACATTTAACTTAGCTCCTGTAGTTTTAAAGATAACAGACAAAAAATTAAAATTGGTAATAATAACTTACATTTCAGGGGGTCATAACTTCAAAATAGGTTGACACATTTATCTTAAATATTCAAGGAAGTTAGCGGATGTTGTGCTGACCATTTTAATAGTCAGTTTCATTTTGTTTTCGAGATATAAGCCAAAAACTCCAGTTTTACCCCTATGTTCTATTTTTAGCCACGATGGCCATGTTAGTTGATCAACCTGGATGAAAATCATAAACTTCATAGAATACATCCCATAGATAACAAACTTTGGTTTCAATCAACTGAATGATTTCAGTGGAGAAGATTTTAATAATAAGTTTACAGAATATGGGCCACGACAAAGGGAGTCAGACAATCGGTCAAAAACTGGATGAACAATTGACACAAGTGATGGCAAATCCTCACAATGGCTTTGTGTGCCAGATGAGCTAAAAATGAGGGGTGCAATGCCATCATAAACTGTTCAATCTGTTAAATTTTAATTGAAATATACCGAAGGATTTAGATAAAATAAGCAGACAAACAGACTGATGACGAGTTTTTTTTTTAACGACCTTGACTACCTATGAGGGTCAAACTGAAGGGCCAACACTATCAAATATATACCCCTGCTATTGCTTACAGAGATGTAATACAAATGGAGATCACTCACGAAACAAGATGATAATTTGTTTTATTTCACATTACAGAATCCATATAAATGTTAAAAACAGCAATAATACAATAAATATCAATACAATAAATATAAAGAAACTGATTAACATTTCAAAGAACATACAACTTTCATTTAAGCAAAAAACATTTTACCTGACAGAAAAATTAAAGCTTTTTTCAACTATGTAATAAACAACAGGTATTCAGAGTAACAGTCTTTAATTTGTAAACATAAAATTTTATATTACTTCATTTTTTCCTTTTTCAATATAATGTCACAATCTATATATATCAACATACAATATGCTCTACTTTGATAGTGCAACTTTTTATGGAGTATCACCTTCCGTAGCTTCTTTATCTAATTAGACACACAACTCTTTTGAAACTACAAAATGGGATTCAAATATGCAGTGTGACCTTTTTTGTTACAATACATACTTATTAATTTTGTATTTAGAATTTTTTCTGTTGACAAAGTTTTCTTATTTTTTGCAAATATTGTAGAATTCTGAGCCTGTGTTTTAACTTTCTTGAATATACTGTTCTCACATATGCAAAACTAACTTACAGAATCATTAAATAATTTGACTAAAAACCAACAATAGTTAACAAAATTGAGACTAAACAAACAGAACAAAAGCAATTGCACTGGACAAATACTATTATACTTACTTATTTTAATAGTACACATACTTATCAGTGGTCAAAGAAAGGAAGACAGTACAGTTTTGGCCAAATTGATCTTAAATCCAAAAGTATTTTATTCAATCTGTCCCTGATTTTTATATTCATACTTTGAATATATAATTTTTTATACTTAATCAGAACATTGCATTTTGTCTTAAAACAAATATACGGTATTCTTTTCATGGATAACACAGCCAGGAAATGACAGTAAATTAATCAATGGATCAAAATTTGGCAGAATCTCAACTTTTTGACTCCCACATCATTTGTAGGACGATATTTACATATATAGGAAGTGTATTTTGTGTCTATTTGGTTCCTTGGGAAAATATTTTTTGGGGCCAGTCTTGTGCTCTATGTTAATTTAGCTCAAATATTCCCCAAATTCAACAAAAACTTTTAAAATTTCCCTGATGATGTTACTTAAAAGACTTCACTATCAAATTTTGTCATCAAAGCTTGGCAAATATCACATTTTCTGAAAGTATTTCTTCTGAAGTTTGATAAATGTAATTGGTAATGGTATCTTTCTATACACTCATTATAATGATTAAACAAAGCTGTCAATATTTCTATCTTCATTTTTACTATTGTATCAAAAAGAAATTACAAACCACTTTTACATAATAACAACTAAGAAAATAAACCATCACTATTTCATTTTTTTTTTAATCCACTTCAATTAGTCATGACAATATAAAATAATTTATGAACCATTTGACATACATGTACAGTGGGTTTATAGTAATTTCAAGTCATTAAGTCATTTTTTCTTACAAACAATGTGCCCAATTTGTTCCCCTTTGGTTTGATGTTGCTATGGCAACTTTTTCAATAGCTTCTTCTCCTGCAGTCTGACCACACAGGAACTTTCCTGTTTTGAAATGAGTGAAAAATCAGGAATTCGCCTTTGTCTTAAATAGAATCATGTTCTCCTTAGATGTCACTTACAATAGTTGTATTTGATAAACATGAAGAAGGCTTTAATTTCATGAAAATGAATTTGCAGCAATCAAAAAAAAATCCTTCAAAAAGTAGCACATGTATTTTTTTTTATTTTTCTTTGCCTAGTAAAATTCTATAACAGTGAAAAATTGTTCATTTTCATTGAAACCATTTCTAAGAAAGACATGAAAAAGTTGGGACAATATTTTGTTCAACCAACTACCATAAGTAAATCTCATTCACATATGTTGACTCAAAGGACTTTCTTCCTTTTAAATCAGGTAGGAAGGCATTTTCAGTAGAAACAACAATCGGAATATGTTTGAAAGTTATATGCTAGATCAGGATAACAACACAATACTCTGTTTACATTTGAAAATTATGTTATAAAATAACAAGTTTGACTGGCTATAAACTTCCAACAATCTCGTCTGTCTCCAAATATGAATAAGCAAACAACTAGAATAAATAATTTTTCAAGCAAACTTTTACTAAATTCTATCTAAGGGGGATTGTAATAGTCATAACAATCCTGCATTTGGGACAAGTGGTAAAATTCAGGTAGTCTACACCTAAATCATGTCAGTTGACAGGTATAATTAACTTAAATAGAGGTCAGTCTAATCGGTCAAGGAAAGCATGTAATCAAGTAAACCTACTACTTTTTGGTGAGCAAATAACAAATTCTATCAGATGTAAAAAGATCAAGAGTACCTAACCATTTTGGAAATGATTTGAGCATATCTGAGACCCTATCTTAGTCGTTAAGATGTTTTCAGATGAAATTTAAAATAAAAACATTTTCATCAATGTCAACATTTTCATTTGATAGTGTATGATACATCAAATTATGGAAAATAAAGATAGGTGTGAGTACATACCATCTTGGATTCAAAAATTAAAACAGTAGAAACTATTTAACAGTCTGAGAAAAGTATTTGGGATGTATATTGAGAAATGTAGAGATCGCCAAGTAAATGTTTTCAATGCATAGCCTAGGAAAAAACCCAGAGAGGTACCATAATATAGAGGAAAAATTGAAACATAAACAACAAACCTCTTTAATAGGCTAAGGCACAAAAAAAATCTGTATTTCTGCTAACATGCTGAATAAATTCAGGGTCGTTTGGTAAGAAATTAACAATATTTTTTAAAATGTGTTAACTGGTTTCAATAGGGGAAACAGTTTGACTTAAATAGTTGATTCAAAAAAATATAAAAAAAAATCTTTAAAAAAAATTAAGGCTTGTCAGCTTTACAGAAACACATGTATTTTTGTTCAGGCCTAATATGAGCAGTAAATTTCAACAACCTACCTATTTGAAACTGGCCAAAGGTAATGGAACAGTTTTAAGAATTCAACAAACTTTCTATAGACTCGTAACATTTAAGTCCTGAAATAAAATAACATGAGATCTAGAATTTAAAATGATTCAATCAACTCCTTTAAATAAACTATACATTTATAGTTTTAAAGCACCATCTTTTCTACATCATAAATTTCTGTATGAAATGGAATCTGTATTTCTGACAAATGTTTGGTCATCTCACTGCTGTCTAGAACATTGTAAAATTTAGCAAGAGCTTCTTGTTTTTCTTCTGGAGATAATCGGGATATCACACTGATTGAAGAAAAATGTTCAACAACAAAATCTCTTTCACCCTGAAAATGAATAATTATATTTAAAGTCAAATTGCATACTAATTTGAAAATATTTTCTTTCTTCAAACTGAAAAATGGATTTAAAATAAATCTGTTGTCATTTAATAATGCATTACTTACAGTACAAAAAGAAATTTTTGCAACAGATTTATTTTCACTAACATCACAATTAAGATAAAATCCTGGAAATTTCCCCATGCATGCATTTGATTTTTAAGAAAGAAAAAAATCAACAATAAGAAAATGGGGAAAAAAATCTTCCTGAAGAGGTTTCGTGTTTGAAATTGCAAAATCTAAACTCAGCAGAAATAAAGCATTTTTCATATTGTGCTGAGTGAAACAGACAGCATATGCAATTTCAATTTAAATACAGTCGACTCCACTTAATCGCATACCGCTTAATTGTATAATTCGGTTAATTGCATGATTTTCACCTATACAAAACCATTTCCCATTCACCTAATGTTAAATTATCCGGTTAACTGCATAGCCTAAAAAGAGGCCTTTCGGTTAATTGCATAGAAAATAATCGCCAGCTAGATATGCTTAGTTAAAACTGACCAGATTTTTGACCAGAAACAGCAATTTGGTAAGTTTTTTTTCTTGAATGCATTATTATTTTCGTTATTATTTCATATTCACTTTTGTGTTGTTTAAATAAGGTTTTAAAACCTTTTCTTTTGTGTTTATATGATGGGATATTGATAAATAATCCTCAATGTGGACATAGGTAAAGTTCCCCTTGTTCTATTTTAAGCCTCGAGGTAAAAAATATCAAACAGGTAATTGTTGTAAAAACATGACCATTCTCTCTCAAAAGGAGTTAATTATTGATTGGATTTCAAACATTGTCCATAGATTAAATTTGGGGTGAATTTTAAAAACAATGACGCCTGCTCATTCACTTTGAAAAACCAACCGATGTGTACACTCGTAATTCGGCTTAGGGTGATTTGCATTCATGTTAAACATTACAGGGCATTTATATATAGTTGAAGAATTTTATACATCAAACATTTATTTTTTGTAATTTTGGAAAAGAGCATTTACTACTAATTATTATATTTTCTCACATACAACACTAGCGTCAAGGAAATAACCTGTAAAGGGCCCCAAACTGCTTTGCATATATGAAACTAACTACATGTAGGTTAAAGCATGGTTTCAGCTAGGATTTTGAGGGCTTTAGTCACTTTTGATGAAAATCAACCTTTTTTTTTTGGGTAAAAGCAATGGACAATAGATATGTATTACTAGCTATACATCTTTGAAGGACTTAGGCATGCTCAGGCAGTTATTGTATATTTTGATAGATGTGGTGCTAAAATATGAAGATTATAATAAGATCTAATAAGGATCCAGATTTCTAGTTTACAATTTCAGTTCAGTTATTTTCAGGGGACATTCCTGATTAACAAAAGCTGGGTTCCTTTTTTTTAACCAGGAATCACAGCATAAACAAACCTGTATACAACGACTATTTCATTGCATAGTCATTATCCTTGTAAAAACGGTTAAATCGATATTTGAAATTCATTTCTATAAACTTGGAACAAAGGATTTGTACAAATCCTTGTTGGAAAGATTCTAATGACTGTATATTGTAATTTAATCAAGAATAGATCACGTTTACTTTCGATTTTTAAACGAAATGAAAACGGGAAGTGACAGGAGGATAATAAATTCAGAATGAATCCGGATTCATATACGGATGGGTTCATTTTTAACAAAAGGCAGGAAATTATCATATTTCTAAATCAAGTTGCCTAGTAAGAAATATATTTGTCTCCTTCGTTTATTTTAATACTAAATGATTTTGTATTTTACGTTTTTAAAATGCCTATTTTATAAGAATACTTTCACGCATGCGCAGTACATAGTAAAGGAAGCACCCGTTTGACTCGTGGAAATATTCCTGAATATTTTGAATAAAGACTTTAAGTTCTTTCTCTTTAATCGAAACTGTTGAAAGTTTTTGATGAAAAGTTATATTAAATATGACAATACATGTACTATGACAAACGAACTGCAAATTGTGATCGTTTGAGAAATATTGAAATTAAAATGCGAACTGTCCGCAGGGAAAACCATTTTGTTTAAATGACGAAACTATGATAGACGAACTGCAAATTGTGGTCCTTTGAGAAATATTGAAATTGTATTGCCGACTTACCGATTTTACTTGGAAAAATAATTATGATGGTCAATAATTTATGAGGTTTATTAATTAAAGGATTAGTGACCCATTCGATGGTGATAAGCAGATTACCTGTAATCACAACTTATAACACCTGTTGTAAACGTTAATTAGATGAGGGTCATAAACTTGTCAAAAACATGAAGACAGGTAGAATTATAGTATTTTCATGCGAAAACATTTTTACACTTTTCAAATTTAAGTAACGAAATTGATTTGAAAAACTTTCGTCATTTTGAAAACCTTTTCGTAAATGACGAAAATGACGAGCACTAGCAAAATCACTGTTAAAGAAACAGTGTTACATCACTGTGCAAGCGGTATATACTGCATATCAAAGGCACTTCATTACACATTTATTGTTAAAAAAGATAATAAACTGTGTATCATTGTTAAACAGTTTATTTCAACCAAAGCGTAATAATGTACATTGCACATATGGGTCATGGAAATAAATCTATTTTCAGTACACTTGGTTCTATTTTTATATCCCAGGTATAGGAAACGATGGAACTGCACGTAAATAAACTAAAACAAAATATGTTTGTAAACTTTATTGAGAGTATTAAAGACGTTGCAAGTAGATTATGGCCGTTCATCTTTCTTTAAGGATTTCCTTTACTTATCTTTACTATCGATGTTATTTGACTCCATAGTTTGGCATTTTGGATATAAGCATACTCCGCTTTATTGCATAATTTTGTCTGACAAATAGTCTATGCTAAAAACCGAATCGACTGAACAACTAAATGAAATAATTTAATAAATTTGCAGCAAAAAATTCTTCACTGTCAGTGTTTTAAAGTCAATACCACTGCCTTTAGTCTCAAGGTAGAGAGTATTTTATGTAATGGGTTCTGTTTATGGCCCAGTCAAGCCAAAGTCTTAAAAATTGGTGTTTGTCAATTCTGCAGCATTTATATGAATAAAAGAAAAGATGAGTCTGCTTGGAGTCAGATAATGTGTCCAAGAATGGTGACAATTTAACTTTTAAGCTAACATATAACATTTAATAACAAAACAGACCAGTCCAAAAAATATGCCTGTTTTAGAAACCCTGATTTAGAATGTTAAAATAGAGGCTGAAGATAACAAGGGGACATAAGTCAAAGAAAAACTGACAATGTCATGGTAAAAAAACAAATAATGACGAAAAGACAATTTTTTCAGCTGAGTTTTACTGTGCATATTGCCGTGTGTTTGTTTATTCTACATTGGCTAGATGTATAGGGGGAGGGTTTAGATCTCACAAAACATGTTTAACCCCACCGCATTTTTGCACCTGTCCCAAGTCAGGATCCTCTGGCCTTTGTTAGTCTTGTATGTTTTTTCAATTTCAGTTCATTTATATGTTTTGGAGTTTAGTGTGACGTCCATTTTCACTGAACTAGTACACATTTTTTTAGGGGCCAGCTGAAGCCCGCCTCAGGGTGCGGGATTTTCTCGCTATGTTGAAGACCCATTGGTGGCTTTGGGCTGTTTTCTGCTCTTTGATTAGGTTGTTGTCTCTTTGACACATTCCCCATTTCCATTCTCAATTTTAAATATACAAAATACTATGAAACTTAAAATTGACCAACAAGATGCCCACAAAGAAGCAGGGGCGAACTCAGGTGCTTCGGAAGGGTAACCAGGTCCTGCTACACATGTTGCGCTAGTTGTGTCGCTCGTGCAAATACAAATAAAAAAGTTAAAAAGAGGAAAAGTTTTTGTCTAAATAATTTAATAATTTACCCTCATTTGTATCCCAGGCAATAACTGATGATTTTTCAATGAAAATCCTGAGAAACTTTCTATCACATGTTTCCATTTATAAGAAACAGCCCTGGGAGTGTCTTCATCATAATACTGTGTTAAGATATCTTCTATAGACTTCACCCATGGAATACTCCAATCTTTATTGTTCCATAACATCACTGTAAAATATAGAATTGTTAATATAATTAAATGAACCAACTAAAAATGGCAGGAAAAATATGTTCCAAGTACTATAAATTCAGAAATTATTGCAAGTTTTTTATGAATGCGAATGATGTGACTGGGTGTGTATCACAATAACAAGAACTCACATTCTGATATCGGAAACATATATCTGTATGCAGATTTTCCAAAAATGGCAATAATCAATCTTGCTTTTTTGTCCATTCTCCAAAAATTGCAAAAATAAATGCACACAATAATTTCTAATTTAATGTTAAATGGTAATTTTACTTGCATGTCAAGAGAAATAAATAAATTCAGTGCACTCTGTTGGGAGTTTATTTGTTATCCTGTAAAAATTTGTTTCCAAGTAAGACTTTAATATTAAGTAAATATCAATCACAATGAATGTATTGTAAGCACATCATTGGTTGATTACAGGATTAGTTTGCATAATATGAGAAAATATAAACAGCTAACAATGTTTTTTTTTGAATTTCAATACATTTGCTTTTATTTTGTTTTTCCATAGGATCCATGCTTCAAATTATATTTAAACAGCCAATTCATAGTGCAAATTAGAGTGCAATAGTCTAAAACAACTGGATATGTTTAACCTCTATAAGTCCTCTGTGTTAAAATTCTATATTAGAAAAAAAATTAAGTTATTCCCCTTTAACTATAAGATCATACCAAACCGTCCTCCAGGCACCAGTACTCTGTACAATTCTTGTAGATTTTCATGATTAGCAAACCAATGAAAACACTGTGCAGCAATAATTAACTGGAAATCAAATGATAATCTTTATCAACAGAAACTATTATCGTGTAACTAAACTCCTGGCAAGTTTTCCCCTCTATTTAAATTGAAACAGAAACTTTCATTCTATAAACTGTTCAAATCAGTTGTACAAGTGAAACAGCTATATTGAAGTAACTTTACATAAAATTGACTGTTTGCTCGTAATTGCCTTGAGATTTTTTATAATAAAAATATTTTTTCACAATTAGCATAAAGTTGGAAGATAATTGGTCTGCAAATAAACAGCTTCAGTCATAAATAATTATTATTACCATTTACTGGATGTAGTGTTTCACATATTTAAATGTGTTGTCAAAATAGCAACACACAGATGAACAGCAATAAAAGTGTTGTTCCTTTGCTGTTGGTTTTGTCAAGTGAGTGTAGTGAGTTTTTGGTCATGAATTAATTTACCATAAATTATCCTTTCTAACCCATTACATTAAAAGTAAATAAATTAAAAACACACAACAGTGAGATTAAAGAGCTACAAAAATAGATAGTTTTGACTCTGCTTGAAAAAAGTGTTCAAGGTGGTAGCTAACACTACATGGAGATATTCTATAAAAATCAGCTAAACGTTTTAATCACGTTGTATTGTTTAAGCTTCTCAATGATCAAAACTAATGTTTGTCAAACTGCCATATAACCAATGAAATTTTTCTGATAAAGTGTTTGGTTCAAATATTTTAAAATTTTGAAATTTTTGTCCAAGCGTCAAAGTAAACATTTTGTCAAAATTTTATGAAAATTAAACAAGACAAATTAATATTAGTCAAGGTGTTGGGTACCACCTTAAACCTATTGAAGCCCTCTGCTGTTCAGGGCAATACTGAATTTTAGTCATGAATATATTTTTTTGTCATGTTCAATTCCTATCTTAATTGACTAGGATGACCAGTTTTCCTTCCGAAGGTCAGTGGTTCTCACCGAACTCCAACTTCCTCCATCAATTAAAACTGGCCATACAAACCATGAGTATTGAAAGTGGCATTACACCTAACAAACAATCAATCAATTAACGCCCTCTGTGTTAAAATTGTACATAAAATAAAAAAATGATTTGAGTTATTCCCCTTTGACTATAAGATCATATATGAATATTTGTCTAACTAAAACAAACCTTGACAGAATTATTTGGTAAAGGTATGGCATCGGCTGTACATGGAGCACATTCAACAAAACTTGGGACTTTATTCCTCAGTACACCTAGGAAAGACTCAGATGGTTCAGAAGCTAAATATTTCACATCCTAGATGAAAACAAATATAAAGAAAATATAACTTGAGTTTTTAAGCATTTGCTTGTTCTACACATGTTCTCACTTTCTGTGGTTAATTATCTAAATGATTTCATGATAATTTAATTAGTACAAATGTTGTCTATTCTGTATTTTTGAGGTAATGTACTCATATATGCCATATTTTTTGGCATATATGCGGCTTAATGAGGTTTATCACATAATTTGACTTGTAATGAGCAACCGAACTGGTGCCACATGTGGAGCAAGATCTACTTATCCTTGTAAAGCATCTATGATCAACCCTGGGCTCTCGGTCATAAAACTATACTCAGTACTCTGAGTACAAAATTTGTGCTCGAAACACTAAATCCAGGATTTTGATTGGTTGATTTCTGAGTCTGAGTACGAAAATCGTGCTCGAAAGTTTTATGACCGCAAGGCCTGGTCTTTTTGTGGGGTTCCTGTTGCTCAGTCTTTATTATTTGTGATTAGTTTTCTGTAGACTGTTGTTTGTCTTTCCATCATTTTAGCCATGATATTATCAGTTTTCTTTGATTTCTGATTTCTGATTCTCCCTTCGAATTTGTTACTGTCTGTTTATTTTTTAATGTAAATCTTTTCTTGGGTTTCAACAATGCAGACTGTGAATCATTACATAGTTAGCAAGATTCATATGAGAACAGTTCCACAAAAGGTCTTACTGTGGATTCATTATTATTCGTCGAATACTAATTTTCGTTTTTTCGTGAGTAAAGGTAAACCACGAATTTAACTAAGTACAAACTTTCTATCGGCTTGTATGAAGAATTTTGCAAAACCACGAAATCAAATATCCACGAAAAATACATTTTTTCCTCAATCCACAAAAATTGGAAAGCATGAAAATAACTGAATCCACAGTAACTGAAATGGAAATTGAAACTGGGAAATAAGTAATGCTGGAATGCCTGCCAAAAATATGCAGATGTGAAATAAAGTGATCTTGTATCGATTCCCAAAACAAATATACCGGTAGCTATCCCTTTGCTTTTTGTGCATTGAACCAAATGTAAACTCGATCAGTAATACATCACAGTAGACTCATTTACTAAAAATCAGCTCAATATATGAAGGCATTTAGAGAAAAAGTCCATATGTAACTGTCATTTTCATGAAATTTTCGAAGTCCAAAGCTTGTTACTTCCCCAAAAATCAGCAGAGCGGAACCAAACGAAAACTTGGTCTGTAACTTATCAAAGTAGACTCAAATACTAACTAAAAATCAGCTCAATATGTGTCAGAAGGCATTTAGAAAAAAGTCTGTATAACTGTTCGTTGCAGAATGACTGAATGACAGATGATGGAAAATGGTATAAACACTATATGGCTCCCAACTACTTTGTGGCGGGACCATAGAAATGCAAGCATTAATTCTGAATTTACAGTATCATATCAAACAAGAAATTATATAGATTATATATGTCACCATGTAGCTTACTTGAGATATACATAAAGTTATTTTCTCTGTAAATTTTCCTGTTCCTGCACCAAGTTCTAAAACATCATATTTTAGATCTGCAAATACATCAAGGAACATTTATTCATGCTTGCATGAAACAAAGGTGTCAACTCTTCAGATATAAAAATTAGAAACTTACCCCATAAGACCAATCTCCTGAAGGGAAAATTAAATCTCCCCTATTTGGAAAAAAAAATCCCTTTTTTTTTTCTCCCTTTAATCATTATTTGATTTTTAGTTGTTTGTCATATTTATAGAAAGTGACAAATCATTGGTCCCTTCATTGTTAATTAATATAATATATAATTCAAGCTATCAGACGTGTTGTGTTAGCTAATCTATTTATTAATGGTTAATACTTCTAAATTTTTATTATAATTTTTTCTTAACCATTCATAAGCAACTTTCAAAATTGAAATGAAATAAGCAAGAAAAATGCATTTTTTTTCTCCTAGGATATCTCCCCTTTAAAATTTACCTCAGGGGAAGATTTCCCCCTTGGAAGTTTTTTAAGTTGACACCTATATCAAAAATAAAATGCTCCGCTTGGCGCAGCTTGATACGACCGCAGAGGTCGAACCCTGAACAGTTGGGGCAAGTATGGACACAACATTCAAGCTTGATACAGCACTGAATTTGGATTGTAATTAAATATTTGACACAGCATAGGTTTCTGACACAGAATGAATGTGGTCTAAGAACTTAAAAAATTTTAATTCACCTATTCAAACCATATCATTATTATTTGCTTTTATATATAAATCAGAAATAACCAATTTAAAATGGAAAATTTTAAAGAAAAAAAAGGAAAAAAAATCCCCCCCAAAATTTTTGAACCCCCTGATGATTCATCACTCCCAAACTCAATCCCAGCCTTCCCTTTGTGGTATGGTACCTTGCAGTACAATTTCAGAGAGATCCATACACTTGAACACAAGTTATTGTCTGGAAACTAAAAAAATGCTTGTTTTTTTGCCCCTTTTTGGCCCCAAATTCATAAACGTTTAGGGCAATTACCCTCAAACTCAAACCCAGCTTTCCCTTTGTGATATGGAACCTTGTAGTACAATTTCATAAAGATCCATACTCTTACACACAAGTTATTGTCATGAAACTAGATAAATGCTTGTTTTTTGCCCCCTTTTGGGCCCCTAATTCCTAAAATTTTGAGGCAATTACCCCCAAAATCAATCCCAGCGTTCCCTTTGTGATATGGGACCTTGTGGTACAATGTCAGAGAGATCCATACACTAACACACAAGTTATTTCTGGAAGTTACAAAAATGCTTATTTTTGACCCCTTTTTGGCCCCTAATTCCTTAACTGTTGGTACCATAACCCCCAAAATCAATCCCAATCTTCCTTTTGTAGTATTGAACCTTATGGTAAAATTTCATAGAGATCCATTCACTTAAACTAAAGTAAGAGTGGGAAAACCAATTTGTCTTCGGATGACGACGACGCCGGACGACAACGACGACACCGCAAACGTCATACCAATATACGACCACAAAAAATTTTTTGCGGTCGTCTAAAAATCAAAAGTAAAGGTTATTGTTCTAAGACCTATTTGCTTTAAAATATCAGTGAAAAATTATTTGTCTGTTAAGTAACTCAATCCTTTTTTTATTGTATGTATACAATATCATCATATGAAATAATAACAAGACAGTACAGAGGTTTCTTTACTTTTTTATTAAAGTCGGATAATGCTTACAGATTATTTACCTGATATCAATTGGTTCTGCAAAGGGGACATTACTCTGGTTTAACATTCCTCAATGATCTAATTCTTATGGGGGCCTCGGTGGCCGAGTGGTCTAAGTAGTCCAACTACTGTATCACTAGCCAGTCAACACTGAGGTTGTGAGTTCCAATCCCGCACAGGGCAGGTGCACTCGACTCCAATCTTAATTGACTAGGATTGTTAGTTTTCCTACTGAAGGTCGGTGGTTCTCTCCGGGCACTCCAGCTTCCTCCACCAATAAAAACTGACCGCCACGAAAATAGCACAATAGTGTTGAAAGTGGGGTTTAACACCAATCAATCAATCAATCAATCTAATTCTTATTTATCACAAGGTAACCCAAATAATCCAGTCATTATATTCTGATCACTACGATAACTCCATAAACCTTGCAAAACCGTAGTGGATAGAGGGCACTCAATTATTCACATTAATCACAAGGCTACATGTAAAAAAATGTTTAAACCCGCTGCAATTGTTTGCACCTGTCCTAAGTCAGGAATCTGATGTGCTGTAGTTGTCGTTTGTTGATGTGGTTCATACGTGTTTCTCGTTTCTCGTTTTTTATATAGATAAGACCGTTGGTTTTCCCGTTTGAATGGTTTTACACTAGTAATTTTTTGGTGTGAGCCAAGGCTCTGTGTTGAAGAATGTACTTTGACCTATAATGGTTTACTTTTATAAATTTCTTTATGGATGGAGAGTTGTCTTATTGGCACTCATACCACATCTTCTTATATCTATTTGCTGTTAAGGGGACATAACTTTTTTAAAACATTTACTCGATATTTTTTCTTGTTCTTATTTTCCCTTTTCTATTTAGAGGACAAAACTGTGGTTAAACATTTATTTGATATTTTTTTCTCAATTTAATTTGTAAACTATACCTTTTCTGTTAAGGGGAGATAACTCTGACAATACATCTACTATATATCGTATAGCCTGGTCTGTATATGATGGTCTGTTTGAGTCATAATGATTGCCCTAAAATTATAAAATTATTTCATTTCAAAATTCATATGCTTCACATCATTATTTTTATTCAGTCTATTGCTTTTATTGGAAGTTAACGTGTCTGTAAGAAGTATGGACTATGAAAGTCAATCTATAATTGTTCTAATTATCAATTAAGCTGCGTCTGATAGATCGACCTAATGCAAGTGCCCATATACATATATTCATGTACATGTATATGACTTTGATAAGTTTTGAAACGATGAATTTTTTTCTGTTTTGTAGAGTTCTTATGTCATCTCAATTTTCAAACAGTTACAGACCCGAAATAAGTTTACAGATGTTTTGATATTCATTTGCATAAGGTCGATTTCTATCTGATGCAGCTGATTTGTAAGATTTCCACTGAAATTATTAAACTGTACAAAAACAGGGACAAGTGATTGAAATCAACACCACACTAGTTTAAAGGTTACCATCCCAAATTGGTTGTCCAATACAAAATATTTTTGTCTTCACTCGTGAGAGACATGTATTTTTTCCAGGTGTAGATTACCTTCAATAGTTTACCAAATGATGTGGATTCATTTATAAATGAGGGTCTGGATGGGGGTCCCTCATTTCTTTGTTCTTTAATCTTTTTCGACCATTTTTCTCTATTCTTTATTCATTTTGCCCATTTTTCTCCATTCTATATTTTAGCAATCCAGTATTCTTCTACTCATTTATTTTAAATATATTTCTCTATTCATTTTTTTCATATTTTTCTTTATTCTTTATTTATTTTGCCCTTTATTCTGCACTTTTTTCACATTATTTTGTATACTGTAAACCCAATCTAGACCCTCATAGCAAAGTTACTTTTGTTTTTGATGTCTACAAACTACATTACTGATAAGAGTTATAATAATTGAAAGCATCAGTGCTTAAAATAGATTCATTGATAAGAATAATTAGGAGATAACTGTATTGTATTTTAAGCTTGGCCTTCGTAAAACGTAGATTTTACAGTCGCAAATTGAGTTTACCTAGCGACGCGTAGCGGAGCTAGGTAAACGGATATTTGCAACAGTAAAATAAAAGCCAAGCTAAAAATACAATACAGTTATCTCCATTCTAATGCAGCATATTAAAACAAATTCCATTTCATAAATGTTTTGGCTTAAAATGACATAAATGAAAAAGTCCGTGAAACTGTTGCATCTTCTTTAGCATCGTCAATGTGACGTCATATGTATATTCACGATGTCAAACATAAACATTACACGTATTTATACCTTTCGTACGCTTCAGAATGGTTTTAATGTTGACAAAAAAGAAAATTTTGAGGCACAAAATGTGACTTTCTTGTTTATTTTGTGAGAAATTACAAACAAACAAAAATCGGAATTCAAAATTGTGGCTTTCTTAGTTACGGACTGGTAGAAAGTGGAATCTAACCCTTCAAAATAATTTTCAACGTCCAATGAAAATTATCCTTACAAACAGATTGCATTAGAATATTTATTAGCATCACCAATTAATTCTTTAAATAACTTAAAAAGTTTAAACAGAGTAAATCTTGGAGGTTCCAAAGGAGTATTATGAAGATGAAAATTTCTGGTATTGGATGTCACTTTGTAGCCATTTTTCAGTCCTGATAAGGACAACATTAAATTAGTAAAGTAATCATAATTTACTTGGTTACATTTCAAAGTAATCAACCCCATCCTTGGTTTTTGGCAGTGCTGTAACTTGCTTTAGGTCATACTATGTCTCAAACTTAATTCAGCTCACTTTCAGAGCCAGTTATAATACATTTGATTCATATCATTTCCATTACCAGAAATACTCTTTTACTATATGCTGATTTCTCACGTCATTTAAACATTTTATGGGCCAACTGGATCCCTGCATCTTTGAACTGATAAAGTAATTGTGACTGCTTGACATTATTTAAACACCCCTCTTTATTCTTATGTACATAATCCAACCCTGCTCAAAGGAATATATTATTTTAAAAAAAAAACAGGTATCAAAGCAGTCATATGGAATTTATCCCCATTAGAATAGTCATCCCTTAGCTCAAAGTACTGACGTAGATTTTATGCCCAACAAATGAACAAATGACGTCAAATAACGTCACATAAAACCAAACACTTTGACGGAAAGATAACGATTGGAATCAAGCGTATTGACAAGTCAGGGACATGCTTGGTTTTATCGACACTCTTTCTTTAATTAGTAGCATAACCAAGTGAAAAAGATCAGGTGATATAGGTTAGTGATGCCCTTTACCGTCAGGCATCAAATGGTCATTTTCGACTACCATTAGCGTCAAATTGGTCTAAATTTTACCGTGATTCGTCAGAGGTCTCAAATAATTATCATTGCCATTATTTTTGGAAAAAATTTAACTTGATTCGTCAAAACCAGTCAATTTTTTTATCGTCTAAAAGAAAGTGTACATTTTATCGTCATGCACCAAAAATTACCGTTAACGTCATTTGACAAGAATTTTTACCGTTATTCGTCATGAAGGTACCCCCATTACGACCCTCATAAAGATACAAACAAACATAAGGCGTAGAATACAACAGTTTATTACATTAAACCACAAAACACATCAATTCATATTGACTTTTCACTCTAGTCTTAAATATACAAATTCTTGTCTGATCTACATCTGTAAATTTAACATCCTGTCATGACATTTTGACTTAATTTGGATTCCCACAATGGTAGGTGCACACATTCAAGGAGAAGCTGCTGCCCTGCAAACGCACCTACCCGGTAATCAAAATTCTGTTGATTCTGGTTTTAGTTAGTTTTTTTAGTTGTTTTAGATTCCATGTTAAAAAATAATGAGCTTTTATCAATATCTTTGAAGGTCACTTCTAACTTTTTTCATTTAGTAAAGACAAAATATTGTTCTAACATGTAATTCACTAGCCCTATGGTCAGTTCGTTTATAACTTGTTTTAGATATTATTTGTAAGAGAGACATAAAAATAAAACACATCCGGGATACCTGGTTAAACCCAGTAGCTGCAACACTATGTACGTTATTCATTTGGAGCCAAATTTGCTTTGTAAGACTAGATATAGGCCTTGACAATTTATGAAGTGATTTCCCATGCATTATCCATTTTGGACTGTCACATGATCGACGTAAAATACCTTTCGGTATTCTCGGAGCTTTCCATTCGATAAACAAATCAATATTTTCCCGCGGTTTTATCAGCCTCACCTGCGATTAAGATTTACCTGAGTAAACAAAATGTCAACAAATTTAAACACACGATTTTCAATTGAACCATAATAATACATTTAAATGTAATATACCCTTAAGACGAACTGACGTCAGAGAAAACAACCAGAAATAGATAATAAGTAGATAAATAGAAATTTATACAAAAGAGGATCATGTTTTTGTGACATATTTTGGTAGGTAAATTAAGAGTTTTTTTAATGTTTGAAAGAGATTGAAGTTATGACGCAAACTTTTTTCACTTATTTCGTAGGAGTGAAAGGTTTTTCAAACGTATGAAAGTTTAAAAACTTCAATAGATTATCTGAAATTGTTTATATTGACTTAAGTATTAGTATTTTTTTTTTAAATTAGATTAAAAAGTTAGTTGCTTCACACTTTTTGTCATTATTTGTCTTAAAAATGTAAAATTTATTATATTGTGAATTCAATTTTACAAGGTCATCCAGTGTTCATTGTACAGACATGACCGAGGTTGGTGTCATAACTTCTTCTTCCTGGTGCGGGAAAGACTCCGGTGCCGGAGTGTGGAATATCCCGGAACTGTGGCGCTATGTACATGCAAATGGATGTCGAAAATTTTGTTATAAGATAAAAATATTTGCCACAGTTCAATTACAATTTAAAATAACATTAGTTGTAGCTTAATGTTAAACATATTCACATTATGTACAGTGGCTTAATTACACTAATTAATTAGCCAGACTAGAACCTCCAAATGTTAAGGTGGAGATACCACCTTTGAAGGATTCTAGGGAGGGTGACATGCAAATTGTTTCTGGGAGATCGTTCCAGACAGCAATAGTACTTGGGAAAAAAGATGATTTAAAAAAGTCTTTATTTGTATATATATGTCGAAATTTATGTAGGCCTCTAGTTCGCCTGTCAGATTGTGTCAGGATGTCATTAGTGACTTCGACCAACCCCCATTAATCTTATAAATCAAGACAAGCTTAGCTTTTGTTCTACAGGATTGCAAGTTTTCCCATTTTAGTTTGTTTAACATACCAGTGACAGCACCTGGTGATCTATCGTTATAGTCATTAAAAACATATCTTGCTGCCTTACGCTGTATCTGCTCAATTTGGTTTATTTGGCTTTGTTTGTACGGATCCCAAACTGGTGAGGAGTACTCGACGGTCGGACGCACAAGTGATGTGTTTGTAAGGTTTTTAACCTTACGTGTACAATTTTTCATGTTTCTACGTAAAAATCCTAGTGTTTTATTTGCCTTTGAAGTTATATTATTAATATGGGGCCCCCAATCAAGATCATTGCTTATTGTAACTCCTAGATACTTGCTGTCTTTGACAGATTCAAGTACATGGTTATGTAATTTATATTGAAATAAATTAGTTTTCGACTTTTTAGATAAATTTATGACATAGCATTTTTCAGGATTAAATTTCATTTGCCATTCAGATTCCCAATTTTCAAGGCTTGATAGATTTTTTTGGAGTGCTTGAGACTCTCTTATATTATTTGATGTTTCATAAAGTAAACAGTCGTCAGCAAAAAGACGAACCTTACAGGAGACATGCTCAGGTAGGTCGTTTATGAATAACAAAAATAAAGTTGGGCCTAATACTGTGCCTTGAGGAACACCAGAGTCAACAGCTAATTTGGAAGATTGAACACCGTTAAGCAGGACTTGCTGTTGCCTGTTTGACAAAAAATCTTTTATCCAAAGTAAGTTATTTTCACTTATACCATAATAATTAAGCTTTGTTATTAACCTTTCATGGGGGACCTTATCAAAAGCTTTAGAAAAATCTAAAAGTATTGCATCAACTTGATTACCTTCTGCCAAGTATTTGGCTATGTCCTGGATGCTGATAACAAGTTGTGCTTCACAGGAACGTTTACTCCTAAAGCCATGTTGGCAATCATTTAAAATATTATTTAAATCTAAATGTTTTCTAATGTTACTTGTTAAGACGTGTTCTAAAACCTTACAACATATAGCCGTTAAAGAAACCGGTCTATAGTTAATTGCATTATGCTTATCTCCCTTTTTAAAAATTGGCACAACATTTGCCTGTTTCCACTCTTCTGGGATTTTTCCATCATTTATGGATTTTTGAAAAAAGAATAAAAGGAAGGGGGATATCTCTTCTGAGAGTTTATTAAGGAAAATAGCAGGGATATTATCAGGCCCACTAGCTTTATGGGGGTTTATATTTTTAAGGAGTTTATGCCATTGATATTAATGGTTATATCTGGCATGGTGGGGTAGGGACTTTTAGGTTTATGTGGCATTGAAGTTTTGTCTTCTTTAGTAAATGCACTTTTAAATTGTTCATTTAAAATATTTGATTGTGTTTGTGGATCACTATAAAGTAATCCATCTTTACCTCTCAAAGGTGAGACTCCTGATGTTTCAGTCTTTTTCCCTTTTATGTATTGCCAAAATGATTTTGGTTTTTCCTCCAGTTGTGGACTTATGATTTCTTCCATATATTTACTTTTGGGCTTTCCTAATTTCTCTTTGAGCTGTTGCTTTAAGCTTTTTGTATTTATCTTTGTGGATTTGTTTCCCAGTTTTTTTAGCTTTATTAAATGCTCGTCTTTGTTTTTTACATAAACTATCAATTTCTTTATTTGCCCAGGGATTTGTATATTTAGATTTTGTCATTTTACTTGGTATATTATCATTAATGATTTTTATTATTCCATCTCTAAACTTAATCCACCACTGATCTATAGTAAGTTCTAATGTGGTCTGGCTTAGCAGATCATATATAAATGATTTGGTTATATTTTTAATTTTTTCTAAATCTACCTTCTTCCATAAGAAATTTTATGGGGGCATTGCGTAGCTCTTTTAGGCTTACAAATGGCATCAACAAAAACTATGTTGTGATCCGATATACCGGGTATTGATTTAATTTTGGTTATAAGATTTGGTTGGTTGGTACAAAAGATGTCTAAAATATTATCTTTCCTGGTACGAAAATTTACTAACTGATCCAAACCTAGATTGTTTAATAAATCTAAAAAGATTTCATTCATTTCTTTCGGGTACATTTTGCCCTCTATTGTCATTGATGGCCAATCTATATCAGGAAGATTAAGGTCTCCACTTATCCAGAAGGTTGAATTTTTAAACTTTAATTTTAAATCATTTAATTCTAATAACATCTGTTTAAAATAGTTTATATCAGATTTACTTGGTGGCCTATAAACTGAAACAATTATCAAGGACTTTGAATCTGTTATATCTATTTGTGCTGCAATCAGCTCTACATTTTTACTACAATAAATTTGTTGGCATCTAATACCCTTTTTAATAGCTATTAAAATGCCTCCGCCTTCTTTACGTTCTCGGTCTCTCCGGAATACATCCTCAAATAGTGAAGAAGGAAATATCTCAGAGGACTTGACATCCTTATTTAGCCAAGTCTCATTCCCAATTATAATATCAGGTTTAGATGATGTTATTAAGTTTTCTATTTGGGCCACTTTGTTTTTGCAGCTTCTAAAATTTATGTTTAACACTCTTAGCGAGGTTTGCCTATTTATTTTTGTCACTACTGGTTTTGGAGAAGATGTAGCTACTGGATTTCCAATATTATCTGTATTATCATTAAGACTGACTGAAAAAGCTGAACTGTCAATTTGGGATAAACATGAAAATGAGTTTGTTGTTAACACTGAATTTCCTGTTGATAAAAAGGACTGAAAAATTGTTCTGGAATGATTGGGGGTATCACAATTTGGACATACCCAGAGGGCTGAAGTATTTCCATACTTTTCATACATGGATGAGCTGATATTTTCACACCCTGCATGACACCATTTATCACAGTTATCACAGACTATAGCGTCTTGGTTCCAAGTACACTCCCGTGAGCAGATTGAACATGGGTAGCTAGACTCATTTAAGTTGTTTGGTCCTGGATTGGTTTCGACCTGATTGCTGAGCAATAATTTTAATAGTAAATAACATGCTTAAAGCCTATAACCAGGGTTTAAATAATCCCTTTTTGAAATAGATAATTGACATGTTACTTTAATAAAAGGCACTGGCTATGGTTACATGGAAATGTAACAATAATAAAAATATTATTGTTACATTGGAGACTAATTGCTGGAATGCAAGGTTGGGTAAGGAACCGATTAATTACGAATGTAACAATAGTTATTGAGTTTACGGTTACACTGCGTTATTGTTACATTAATTCACTTCAATGTACGCTGGGTGACTAGTAATATGTAATAAAATAAAACTTGAAAAGTTTTATTTGAATTTTACAAAATTGCATACAATTTTTAAAATTTCATTTGCAATTTTTCAGTTTCTACAAATCCAATATGTTGTTTTGGGGAGCATGTTTTAGTCCGACGAATCCAGCCATCACAAACGAGTGATGCAGCAATTTGCTTGTCTGTATTTCATACTGTACAATTCCATTCTGTATTATACTTTTTTAAAGTTAAAGAAACTTTCAATATGTTTTTACTCTTGCGATCAAGGATTTGTATATATAAATCCTTGTTGCGATGTTTATATTTTCGTCCAATCTTTTTGTTGGAAGCATATATATATAATGTGTGGTTGTAATATGATTTCATTACCGTCCATTACTGATTTTATGTTCACCTCCGATTTCTATATCCAACTTATCATAGCTGAAAAAACCCAATAGAACATAAAAATACAAGTCAATTGTGAAGGCAATTTGCCGACATGTTGAAACTGGTGAATTCGGTGTTTTCATTTTCAGAGTCCAGATATTTTGTGATAGTAATTTCATTCTAATTGGCGAAAAAAAATAAGCAACACAACTATAGAAGATTTACGTTTTATTAATCTACCGTACATTAAAGTGCATTAATGTAACAATAAAGCAATGTAACCGTAGACTCAATAATTATTGTTACATTCGTAATTAATCGGATCCTTACCCAACCCTGTATTCCGGCAATTAGTCTCCAATGTAACAATAATATTTTTATTATTGTTACATTTCCATGTAACCGTAGCCAGTGCCTTAATAAAATAGCCCAGTTCTGGTGTGATGTCATTCAACTATATAAAATTAAACAAAAACCTCCATTTATTCCAATAAATTTCCCATAGTATAAACTAAATGTGAATTTGATGTCAGATAGAGGGTATGTCAGTGTTCCCTTGGACCCCCTTTCTGTTGATGAATTAAGCATAGACATACACGAAGGGGGTTCAAAAGGAAGCCTAGCTCTGGTAATCATCATAACTTAGAATGTCCGCTCTCAGGGGCGTAGCTACCTTCTTAATGAAGTGGAATCACAAACTAAAGGGTGAGTGGTCTGGGGGCCGCCTAAGGCCCCCAGTAAGTCCAGGGCAAAGCCCTGGTAGGGGGCTAGGGGGCAATGCCCCCCAAAAGATCCGCATATATAGCGTTTCATAACAATCACAACCGTAATAAAACTTGTACATTTTTGTTGTGGATTTTTGGTCAACTTTTTGTTTAATTTCGAGTTGAATGAAGACTAAACATTGTCGTTGCGTTTTTTGTAAGCCGTGAGAGCTTTTAAAATCACAGAGGTTTGTTCCATATGCTAGTATTTGTATTGAGCAAAGTAGATGGATAAAAAAAAACAATAAACATAAACACAATACTACATGTGGAATTTGATAGCATAAACATCTTTGGATACCAAATACTTTGCTAAACATATGTATTTAGATGTTTAAAATTCTGTGGGTAAACTCTACAAGAGAGAGAGAGAGGAATTTCTTATTTTATGCAGTTAGAAATTATCGAAGTTGAAATTAATGAACCTTTTCAGAGGGAATGATACTTTGATCACGATCTTTTTCATGATCTGCGTTTGTTAATTATCCAGCTTATCAACAAATACATATGCATTCGACAAGTTGTATTGCAATATCTAGATGATAACAGTGAAGATACGTGTATTTAAAGTTTGGTGTTTCGTTCGAACAAGAATCAGCAGTTAAGTGTCCCACTCGAACAGAAAATTCATTATAAAATGGACCAAATAGTCCAGTAAAACAAGTAAGAACTAAAAATTTGTTTAAATGCTTTTACAATCAAATATTGGTATAGGCAGTCCATTCATATAGAACTGACTTCGGATTATCGAATCTATATACAAGATATTTTTTTGTAAAATAAATAAAAACGTAATACATGTACTGGAAAATGTGTACTTTTTTTTATAATAACAGCCGTTCCAACTTCTCATCTATTAGTTTACGGAAACTATATTGATTGATTGAATGGTTATTAATGTCCAGTAGCAAATATTACATGCACACCAGGACGAGAATACGTTGACGTGATGTGCAAATGAAGTATTCGTGTTGTCAAGACCTACATACTTCGTCAATTTTGAACTAGTTCACAAGGTAACAGTCGTTATTCCCGGATCGATACGAGTTGAACAGTTTTCGTTCTAGTAAGATGTGTGCTTTGGGGCAAAGCAGAAAATACTAATTTTCAAGATTTTTTGTTAACCCTAAAGGAATTATTTGTTGTTTTTTTGCACTCAAGGCGAGTATACGTTATGGTGGTGGTACCGACAACTATGTAGCTGACTTTTCTAAACAATGTCCATAATATAAAAACTTCCGCTATGTTTACACCAGTTGTATGTATTTATGATGGTACACATACATGTCTTACAGGATTAAAATTATGCTGCATGCTTATTCCTCTTGCTTTTTGTGTAGTTTTTAAAATGCAAACATAGAAAGACCAATTCCTATAAGTTAACCTTGTCCCTCTCTCTCTCTCAGTGTGTTTTTTTGGTTTTTTTTGGTGAAAGTGACGTGGATGCACATGCTGTCATGCTTAATGGTAACTACGCCCCTGGCTCTGTACTGATCTCAAATGGTAACTTGCTAATGTTAAGGTTTGTGTGGACCCTTTGGCTAAAATGGCTGCATTTTCACCTCAAAATTTACTCTGAGTACAGACAAACCTGTGTATCTGGAAAAGTTTTAAGTCATAGCATGCCCTAGGTAAATAAAATTCAAATATATTTTATGTTTTAGAAAATTAAAAACTTCACAGGATTTTGCAGTGCACTTTTTTAATTCCTCCAGAAGGTGCCAGAATAAACTAGTTGTGAAAGAGGTTTGAGAACTTCCCCACAGGTAATAATTGAAGTGAACTGTATTGATTGACATGGACAAAAGATACCTGACACTAATTGGTGATATAAACCGTGTATCTGAGTGGACCATATCAAATGAAACTCAACTGTTTGTTAATTTTATCATCTTCTGCAGGGTGACGAAAAAAGTGCACTGCAAAATCCAGTTAATTTTAAATTTTCTAAAACATACAATGCATTTGAATTTTATTTATCTAGGGCATGCTGTGTCTTAAAGCTTTTCCAGATGCACAGGTTTGTCTGTACTCAGAATAAATTTTGAGTTGAAAACGCAGCCATTTTAGCCAAAGGGTCCAACATGAACCTTAAATAAGCCTATTTAATTTACAAACTCCTGCTAATAACATTTTGATGGCTAAGAAGTCAGTATACTTATTTTTCTTTCTTGCACATTGTATATATGGACATTTTCCCTCTTAATCAAAATTCAATTCAATGTCGATATTCAGTAAACAGACTATATTAAAACACAAGCAACCACTTTTAAAATTGAAACCAAAAAGAAAATGTTTTAAAATTTATATTTTGCAATTCATTTTTAAGACATATAATTGACAGTTTCTGTGAATTTTTTGAAAATACCAGATGTATTTTTTTTTTCTCAGGACATGTATGTTGGATAATATCTCTTCCTGAGGCTTCTGTCCTTTAGATTTTAAATAAACAATAAATTGTCATCACATTTTAAACCTTAATTGTATAAATATATTGAATTCTTAAAGTTGTTATTGCTTTGGATATATATTTTGTGGATAAATAAACCTAATGATGAATTTTCCAATCATTTTAAAATTAAGGGTATATTTGTAGGTAAAATCATTGAAGCATATCACAGGTAAAAGAGAATTCAATGAACTTGAAAGATTTAAATCCATTCATTGTGAAATTAAATAACAAGAGAATCGTCATATTTTTATACCTCTGAATTCTGCCATATTGCCACATAAACAGATACTAGAAATTGGATAATATAAGGGAATAATTTGGACAAGCAAAATATTTGGGTTTGGTAAGTGTTTCATTTGCATGTATGCTTTTCAGCATACACAAAAACATGTCTTTTAATTTAGTGTCTCATTTAGATATTCATGTACATGGTTTTTGATCTCTGAAATTGTATGTGGAAAAAACTTCCTTTTGAACCCCTCTTTTTGACAGAATTTGTGGAATAAGCATAGATATTGCTGAAGGGGGGTTCAAAATGGAGTCTTGCCATATTTGGTTTCTTATGTATGGATGCTAAACTAAAAACCAAAGATATCATTCATGTCATTCTAGAAATTTTAGGATTTTTTTTTTCTATTAAATTGTGAAAATTGTGCAACATATGACAAGTTCCAAATAAAATTTTGAGTCAAATCATTATGAAGTTTCTCAAAAAAGTTCTTAATTTCATCCAGTTTAGTACAGGATATTGTAAATCTATAAAATCAATCCTAACATGCTTTAAAGAAAATTTAAATCTATATGCGCTATTATTACCTTCCAAGAAAAGTTGACTGGACCCAGTCATAGACATATAATACCAAAAGTTAGCAACTATAATTTGTGGCCATGTTATCTTTTGACAGTCAGGGGAATCACTTAAATGAGTGATTTCATAAATCACTTATTAAAGTAACATTTTGTCCAGAAATGTTGCAAGTAAGCCTATGGTCTTTCTTTGATTATTACATTTTTGAGTAGTACAAATAAATCACTAGACTAAGTGATTTCAGGCTGGGATTCAGCCATTTTGAAAACCGGGGGTTGCTTACCCCCAGAACACCTGAAACGTTCACATATTAACCAAAAAAAAAAATAGAAAAAAGGGGTGGTTCCAACCCCATGAACACCCTCCATTGATCCGCCAATGAACTTAATTTTATTGTAACATTACATATACATGATATACAACACAAATGATCCCGGGACTAATTATAATGCTAAAATTATCAGAACCAACATCTATATAAAATGACATGAAAATCACTTGTTTATGTATCGATCATACCTCTATTTTCTTCCAAAAAGTACTTTTTAATTAATTACCCACGAACAGTCAAATTTGACTCACGAACAGCAAAACTTATTACATAATTTTTAAGCTGAAACTTTGAATTTTACAGTAAAAATACTCCCACTGCTGGGAAAAATCTGTGAAGAAAGTATAAGATCATTATGTAAAGTCTACATTTAAGAACTTTTTTCATTAAATTTAAAATGTACAGATGAATTATTGCATCAAAGACATAGCAATCCTACATTCTGTCGTCAGCGGCGGCGTACACAAATATTCACTCTGTGGTTGAAGTTTTTAAAATTTTAATAACTTTCTTAAACTATCCTGGATTTCTACCAAACTTGGACAGAAGCTTGTTTATGATCAAAAGCTAGTATCTAGAAGGAAATTTTGTAAAAATTTATTTCCTGTTTTTCCGTATATTACTTATAAATGGACTTAGTTTTTCTTCCAGTTAACATTACATACAGTCTGCAGTTAAAGTTTTTAAAGCATTTATTAGATTCATAAACCATCTTTTTTTTTTAGCCAACTTGGACAGAAGCTTACAATCAAAAGATAGTATCTAGAGGAAAATTTTTATTAATTTTTTCCCCATTTTTGTTGAGCCTGCGACTTTTGTCGCAAAATCGAGACATAGCGATCCTACATTCCGTCACTACATATCACACGGAAAACATAGACAACAGCAAAAGTAGACAAGATACTTGGTTCCGCAGAACCCTTACGATTTTTTTTAAATTTTACTAATAAGAATAAACTAAACCTGTATGTTTAAAATTTTGGTTAAAAACTGGAAACACAGAATTTCTAGTTTGCTACTTAAATGAGTGATTTAAAAATCATGTTTTGACATAATAAAGTCCAAAGAACTGTAAAAAGTTTGAAAAGGGTATCTTTAAAATTAAAGATATAAGGAACAAAAATTGAAATCAAGATATTGAAAATTCAACAAATTCACAGAAAGAGGGGTACAACATGTTATTGGGATGGTTGATACTCCTTTTTTGTTATCACAAATTTTACAATGCAATAAAAAAAATGAAAATTTAAATCATAAGTTGGTACATTTGTAGCTTTTATTCAAATATTTTTTGTTGTGATCATTTAGATATTAAGATTTTAATTTCATTCCAACATTATAAACAAAATAATGGATACAAGTGAAAAGTTCTTTGAAAGTCAGTTGCTTATTGTTACAATCAGAACTGTTGAATAGATTTCCTTAGGGTCCTGTCTGAATTCTTCAAAGAATTAACAAATATTTGATACTAAATACATTTACTCAGTCTGCATCAAAGACCAATATTCCAATATTTTTCTTGCGTCTAAACAAAATTTTGCAAATACTTAACTAGTCCGAATAAAGTTTTACTAGTCTGAGGCATTGGACTAGTGGCTAATAGTGCAGACTGTATATTGATAGAGTATTGTTTTAAGATACCATATATTTGATCAGAAACTTGTACCAGAGATTGAAGATATTTTGAAATCTTGTAAAGTCATGCTGCCATCGAGATTTTCATTGAAAATGCTACTGATATGTTTTTTCGTGAACACCATAGATGTTTAATGACTTCTTAAAGTAGTCATTAAAATATCATATCTTCCTTGACATGTTTCATATTTTACTTTTTCTCAGACTTGCATTAACACGATAAGTAAAGTTTTGAGGACTTGATACTATCTTAAGATTTTATGTCCATTTTGATAAAACATAATAATGTAACAAATTAAACAAAAAGCTTTCAGCTGTTAAATGTCGTTATCAATACCAATATATTTAAATTTGGGTAGATGGATATTGATTTGTATTTTAAACCTTATTTTATTTTTGAAACCGAGAAAAAACTTATATATATTCAAATATATACATTTTTTTTTTCAGCCAGGTTTAAGAACATCAGTTGTTCGACCTACTAGTCAAATGCGTTTTGTTAAAATATACTTTTTCACTTTTTTGGTCTTTTGGAAAATGTCGTTTGTGCTGTATCGAGACCCCTCTAACAAGAAATTTGTTTTGCATGCACACGTATAAAAATTGCGGTTTTTATCCAATGCAATCATAGGTTTGAACATTGTTTTCAATTTAGACTTTCTTCAATTTTTTTTTTATATATAATACAAAAAAAAAGATAAATAAGTTATTTATTTGACATGTTTATAAAGGAAATTTTAGAAAAGATCAAAACTTTTGATTTTGTTTTTGATGCAGAGAAAAAATATATGCATTGACTTCATTAAAAAAAAACTGCAAATAGAGATAGATAAAAAGTTTTAATCAGGGAAACTTTTTCGTGAGGTTGCTAGGGATATGAATAACCTACTACATCATTATTATGGCCTATGCTTATATTTCTCCAACTTCCTTCTAAATAATTGGACAGGTATAAAATCAGGTATGATTGTTGATTATTTACTTGGTTGAAATATTTGTTAATTAGTCCCATTTTCTCAGTAAGTTTGACATTTACCTTTGAGTGTAAATTTGCCTAATTTAATTGAAATTAACAAATAAATATATTACATGTCAATAATTAGGGTACCTGTTTCAGCCATTACACAAAAGAAAACTTCAACATATTGTTGATTTTTTAATTCATGTTTGTATAGCTTGGACATTTAATCTGCAAATGAAGTCTGTTTATCCTTAGAGTTTGAAAGAATATTGAGGTATAATATAAGATATTGATTTTAATTTTTGTACCACGCAAAATGTAATTTTAACCAATGAAATGCAAGAAATTATCGTAGGTAAAATCTTACATTGATGTCTTTGTCTTTAAATGCATGTCATGAAAACCTCTTAATGACGTTGCTTTTAATCTGATAAACTATAATTTACCATGTCACAGTTCATTGGCAACTAATCTTACATGTATAACATTTGACCTTAGGTCAATTTATTAAAACTTTTTCTGTTTGTTTGTTTTTTTTTTTTTTTTTGTCTTTTTTCTTATTTTCTTTCTGCTGTTTTTACTATAAATGTGCCGCCTCATAGCATTAATAAAAGAAATATGAAAATATCACCTTAGAAGGTTAAAAATAAATTTAGAATAAGAATGAAGATTCGTATGGAATGGGTTGCTTTCTCTGACATTGAAATGATGAACATATTATCTAATTATATATTACAAATGTACATGTATTATATTGAGCTTTTAATTATTTTGTACAGGAGTTTTATTAAATTGTACATCATAAACAATAAGACTGCTTTTAAAGAATTTATGTGAATTCATAGATATGCATTAAATGTAAGAAAAGGGGGGTCAAGAAGAGAAAAAAATATCTCAAAAGAAAAAGGAAAACAAGAAATTGAAATTAGAATTATATAAACTAAATTCCAAATGGGGAAATTTTTAGGCTTTTACGTAAATAAAGTAAGAAGATGTGGTATGATTGTCAATGAGACAACTCACCACTAGAGACCAAATGACATAGAAGATAGCTAATATAGGTCACCATACAAGCTACAAAAAGCCCCCAAATGACAATTATAAAGAATTCAAATGAGAAAACTTATCAGCCTGATTTATGTACCAAACAATAAACGAAAAACAAATATGATGCCTACCAGCATAAATCAAAATTAAATAAATTAAAAATGACCTTTCAATCTGAAAATGTGACATAAAGCAAACGAATTGCACCAGTAGAATCAATTACTACCTCCTTGGACCTACACCATGTACACAATTTTATAGTTATCTATTGCAATCCCTTATCCTCTGTATAAATATGAAGTCTTGTTAATTTGTTAGTTCATTCTGATTAATTGTTTACAGTTGTTTATTATATAATACTAATTTAACATATATTATGGTGGATTTATTTATTTTTGTGATAACCTATTTTTATGAATTGAGGAAAAATGGTATCTTCATGGCTATTTGATTTTATGGTTTTGCCAGTTTCCATTTAAGCTTATAGAAAATTTAAAGTTTGTTGAACCTTTCAACTCGTGATTTACCTATAGCCACAAAATCTACAATTATTAATGAATTCACAGTATTGTTCATTAGTTTTTACGATAATAATAATAATTTGTTAATAAAGCATTAAAATAAACATTGACTATTATTTGTTTTCAGCATGCTGATTATGCAGAAGTTGATTGTGTTGTTTGCAGCATGTCTATGTTTACTGCACGCCCACCCACTAAACGCTGAAGATGGACACTACGTGAACCAGTTTCTAGTTGAACTACACAAGCGATCCACTTTAGACGATCTCCTGGCAGAACATGGATTTGAAGTTGAAGAAGATGTAATAGAATTTTTTATTCAATAATGATAATTATATATGATAGAAGTAACCGTAAAAAAAATAACCCACTAGATTTGAAAAAATATTCTTGAACTACAACATGATAATGAAAGTGATGATAATCATGATAACTATTTAAATTGTATTAAGTAATTCATATAATGCTATATTTTATCAGGAGAATATTTCGTTCCTCTTCCAATTTCCACAAAATAGCATTGTAAGGACTCTCGTCAGATATTTATGAGCCTTTGTTTCAGAGTTTAATATCAGCAATGTTTAGAAGAGTTTGAAAATCAGAGTTAATCACCTTTTTTTAAAATTGAGAATGGAAATTGGGAATGTGTCAAAGAGAGTCAACAACTCGACCAAAGAGCAGAAAACAGGCCAATTTTTCTATATATTATATGGTAAATTGCGTTGTTAGGCCTCTCATGGCTCACATTTATACAAAAGTTTAAAAGAAAAAAAAATTGGAGTTATTTCCCTTGGAAAGATAAAAAAAAAATACTGCCTCTGAAGACATCCAAACACTTGTCTTTTATATTATTTTGAGACAACAGGCAACATGCATCTTCCTTGGAAGACTCACACATTTAAAAAAAAAAACAAGTGTCAAAAAAAATAAATTTGATAATGATCCTTGCTTTTGCCATGGTAATTCAGCTTTTTTTCAATATTTGAAGACATGCAGAAATGAAAAAAAATTGTTTGTAAATCTTATGAGTTATACCATAATTCTTCATATGAAATATGTCATAATATAATTTCCTGTTTTACAGTTACCATCCCTAGGGTTTGTAGTTTTACGTCACAAAGAAGTTAGCCATAGATCAAAAAGAAGTTCTGTTGATCATGTAAACAAACTGAGGTCAGATTTTAGGGTAGGTTTACAGTCTAAGATTGTAGTAGCCCCTACCTAACCTGAACATAGTAAGGAATAGACAAAAAAAATATTTTTGCATGTGTCCTGCGTGCTTAACAACCTTAATTATGTTTGACTGTCAATCGTAAATATTTTATTGTTGATTCATTTTTGTGAATATCATGGGTGAATCATGAATGATCGGGTATCTGAAAATACATTTTTTCAAAACCCACAAAAAAGTTGTGGCCATGAAAAAAATTAATCCACAGTATACAAGTAATAAGGGAAATTTTTTTATTTCCAACTTTTCGTTCAAAATATTTAATTTTTAAGGGCAATGATTTAATATTCAATACCAAAATGTAAGAGTGACACAATTTTCAAGGGCCATTTTAGGGCTTCTTTTAAAAATTGTCTTTTGATACAATTTGAAAATAAATAAGAGAAATAAAAAATAGTCCATAAAAAACTATAATACTGTAAATTCAGAAATTATTGCTAAGTTTTTATTAATGCGAATAATGCGACTAGGTGAGTATCACAATAATAAGAACTCGCATTCTGATATCAGATACCAACTTCTGTATGCAGATTTTCCTGAAATCACAATAAACCTTTCATTTTTGTCCTTTCTTAATAAATGGCAATAATAAATGCATGCAATAATTTCTGAATTTACAGTAGTATTTAATTATTACATAATTTACAGGTGAAATTAGCAGAACAGCAAAAAGAACTGATAAGAGTTAAAAGGGAGATAATCCATGACAAACAAGTAGAACTACCGTTTAAACATATCACAGACAACTCTATCTACTACCGATCAGAACCACAAAGACTCATTCGTAAAGATGGAATTCCTAATCCGGAGATCAAATTTAATGATCCTTTTTATAAAGATCAGTGGTATTGTGTAAGTATTGATACATGTTGAGATATAAAAAAAATATTTAAAAAAGATTTTTTTTTTTTTTAAAAGTAAAAAGATACATGTTGAGATTAAACATTTGTTATTTTCGTTATGGTAAGTATCTATAGAAATTGAATCAACTTTCATTGTTGTGGGAATGGTATAACGTTAATATTGTGTATTTAGAACTGTTTGATATAGTTCTTTCAAAGTTAGTTGTTTTCTTCAATAAAATACCAAAAATGTCTTGTTAGTATATTTTTGTTTACTAATTACAAATAACAAATCAATTTCTTGCAACTATTTTCACAAAAAATCTTATGGTCATTGTTGAAGGTCATATGTTGACCTGTTGTTGTTTACATTCTAATCTTTTGGTTGTCTCATCTGTAATTATACCACATATTCTTATTTTTATATTATGATTAAAATTTATTGTAAGTACTTATTTATATTCAAGTATGTTTACTCATTTTATAAATTATTTTTTTTAAAGCCTCTGTAATTTTTACCTTATAAGCACGCCTGTCTTGTCCAATTTTTTTTTTGCAATAGTCTGTGGGTCAAAAAAGAAAGCTACATGGTTAATTAATTCGTGACATAAAAGTTCTACAAACATTTTTACAAAAACAATGATCATTACTGTACTTTATCTCAAATTTTCTCTAACCATCATTCTGATCATTTGAGTAGGAATTTGTTGAAACTTAATATTTAACTTAATCTGGTAGTTAAAATTCAAGTTATACATTTTTCAGCACAATGATGGCCAGACAGGTGGAGAAGTTGATGTAGATTTAAACGTTGTACTGTCATGGAAGAACGGTTATACTGGTGTAAATATTAGCATCTGTATCCTTGACGACGGGATTGACCATACACATCCTGATATCAAAAATAACTATGTAAGTATAGCTATTTTTAGGGTTAAGATTCATGCATTCAAAACTCTTATGTGACTGGCTTATTATTTGTCATTGTTCCAGACTTGATCACTACTTTGAGATAAACAAAACATTAGTGCATTGAGCACAACATACACCTTATCGCTATTCCCGGCTGACCCGAGAATCTGTCCCGCTTGAACTATTGACGTCATACAACAATCACTTTTCCATTGTGGCGTCAGATATTTTGTATTATGACGTCAAAATTTTACGGGAACCTGTGTGATGTCCAGTAATGGCGGACAAATAGCGATAAGGTGTATTCTAAAATAGAAAAACAAAGGATATAGGGTATCCATCCATGACACAATCAGTACATGCACAGCAAAAATAAAAACACAAAGAGCAAAGGAATACATTATAAATCCTTTCCATGGACACTTTAAAAAAAAATCATCCATGAAATATATACTGAGATATTCAAGTTAGGTAATGATGCGTATGTGAATAACCATACTCATCAAGAAAATTACATAAATTGTGCATGATGCATGAATCTAGCATCTGTTCTATTAAAGATAACAATGATGTCATTGTAAAAGTAATATTTAAAATTGGAGTTATCTTCCTTTATTAATTGAAACCAATTACAATTATATCTCCAATTTGTAGTATTGCCCTCCAATGCTTAATACAGCGCAATAATTACTTTTAAGTTCCTACTGCAAAATGTATGCAATATTTTTCCTTTAGTGCTCACAAGCACTTTGATTGTTCAACAATTAATGTCTGCTTGCTAAATAAGATGGTGTCCATAATACTATAGGTTGCAATTCCATAAATATATACAATGCAATTTCCCATAGGAACTCCCTTTTACTATGAAGTTTCGTGAAAAATTATATCCCAGAACGGAAAGTTGATATGCACTACTATTTTATTCAAAGGTCAAAATATAGGGCTGTGCGGCATATTTTCAACATTTATATGCCCTGAACCTCTAAGAGTTTAAACTTATACTAAAATTCTATACTACCCCTACCTCCATTTTTGGACCTCCTAAGAATTAAATTTTAGGAGCTACCATGTTTTTCTATACTGGTAACATTCCCAAGTTATGTCTCTATGAGATGAAACACAGAGATCATATCTGGGAACCAGTACGTTAACAAATTAAAATATCTATGAATATTATATATCTCCCATAAAGAGGCGTGGCTTGTGAAACAGCTGTATTTACAAAATGCAACCTATAAATAGAAATTGTAAAAATATAAATCATGGAGAAATGAGAGAAGAACAAATTAGTTTGTGCTTATAATTAAAATGACACAATAAGTACATATTTATCCATAATCCTTGCTTAGTTTTAATCTTCATATAATTGCATTACATTCTGAATCCTTTAACTTATTACTTTATATCTACAGAGGGCAGATCTGAGTGCTGATATGAATGATAAAAGTGATAATGACCCAATGCCAGATGTCTCCAATAGTGATAACAGGTATTCAATTTTATATGAGCTTGTTACTCTTACTGCAAGGGGTTCATCAACACCAAAAGATGTAATAAAGTCACGTAATAAATGAATGTATATAGTCCATCTTATTCTTGGTGAAATAGAATTTTTAAAAAAATTTACTGGAAAAGGATAGTGAGAAAATATCGGAAGTCCTGATACCATGGATACCATGTTTTAAGGGAAAAGAAGATGAAAAAGGTCATCTTACACACCTGAAATTATAGGTGATGTTTGATTTTTTTAACTGAAATGTATTAAAGTTAGATTTAATTTCATGAATAAGTTGAAAATTTAATGTTTTCATGTAATAAAATAAAATAAAAATGATTTAATAACATTTCTTCTTATTTTAAACATGTTTAACCAAATGTAATGCATTGTTTCATTTTATTAATGCTACACAGGAAACCTGAGGTAATATTGTTGTCTAAGCTCAGAAATAAGATTTGTTGCATGTAAATGAGCATGTTATATATGTCTGATATTGTTTGTTTTCAATTGTTTGATAGGAATTTGATTTGTTTTTATTTCATTTATTGTTTGTTTGTCTTGGGTATGTTTATAGATTTTTATTTGCTACCAAGAATGATCTAGCTGATGAATTTGTAATGTTTAATTGATGTCTTGAATATGTTTTTGTCTTATGTTTTTGTTTTTAATTCCCTTGACTTGCATGATACCATTTTCAAAGAATTATTTTGAAATCTTTTCTTTTTCAATCTTAATGATGGTTTAACAATTACCAGCAAAAAATAAGAAAACTTTTATTTTAGGATTGAGGTATAATAATTGCTATTAGTTGGGATGTTCAAAGCCATACAGGTTACCATATCATAACCTGCAATGGTGAATTTTCACATCAGATCAACATTGTGCAAACTACTGTAATCCAAATAAATCTGATATGGCTATTTTTAGATGTTAAATCCATTCAGTATAATTTCGCCAAACTGACCAGTTGTTTATACCTTGTCAATGTACTGGTTTATATTAGGATAAAAATCACATGAGAGATTATGTTTACTTTTGCTCAATTCTTCAAGAATTTCACTTTCGTACCTTTAGCCATGGAACAAGATGTGCAGGAGAGATAGTGGGTGCTGCAAATAACAATAACTGTGGTGTAGGAATAGCATATGGGGCAAGTATTGGAGGTAAGGATATTTGTTATTTCATAAAGAATTATATTTTGTGTGATGTTTTGTGAATAAAAGGAAGAAATCTGAGGCTTAAAAAAAATCCTTAATTTGTCAAAATTGGTATAGGAAAATTTTGGAGGCTAAGGGAAATGCCATATTGCATTGGGCCAAAAATAAAATTTAAATTGCTTGATGTTGCTTACCTACCCACCTCAAAAGCATCATACCTGTACATTTATGACATAAATCATTTTTTTCTTGCTCAAACATCTTGTCTTAAAACATGTAACTTATGTTGTTGGCCCCAAAATAAAAAATCTCTACCTACCGTTACCTAACCAACCCTCAACAAGGCATGGGTACACAACATCAAAATAAGAATTTAAGGGTGCCTTGGATATAGTTATATAAACAGTAGGAAGTAACACAACAAGTCTTGGAAGATAATTTAAAATCAGACAATAGAAAAAAAATTACAATAATTTTCACCTCCCTTTTTAACCACATAATCAAAATTTTAAAAAAATCTGAAATACTATTCTATCTTACAATAGGATTGGCTACCAAGCATCTGAAAGGTTTGGGAATTTCATGTTATTAAGAACTGTTTTAATAGATGAACTGTAATCGTAATGATATCAAATTACAGTCAAACTTGTATTAAGCATTCAATAAAAGTGACCGCTCAAGAGAGGTGACCTTTTAAATGAAGTTCCCTAAAAATTCCAATTAAGACATCACCCTAAACTGTTTAGTGTTTTCAATTGTTAATTAGAGTTATCGTTCTTGGAGAAGTGAAATAAAAAATGGCGGATTCAGACGTAAATAAATAGGAAGAAAACTTCCAAAATATGTTAAATCCTTGGAGAAATAAGTCGTTGGTAATCTTTTTCATGAAAACTAAAAGGAGTGGAACATGAGGAATTTATGAATTCATCACCTATTGCTCGATCTCATTGCAAATTGGTTCCAATTCTCATTTTGGCTCTGATACTGTACACATTGGTTTTTTGTCTTGATTATATTGGTATTTGAAAACATTAAAAAGACTGCTGTAAAAAGTTGAAATGAAGGTTTCGTGTGAAAATTATGTGACCGTTGACAGTGTTAGACAGTTGACTGCTAATAAGAGTTAAATTATATAGAAAACATGTTTGGGAGTGTCTAAAAGTGACCATTAGAGACAGGTGACCACTGAAACAGGTTGACCGTTAAGGCAGGTTTGACTGTACTTGATTTTTGCAGAATTTAAATGTAACTATTTCTAGAGGCCAACCTGTTGGTGAGGTTTTGTATTTTAATTTTTTTTCTTGTTTTTGATTATCAACTTTCTTCAAGATCACATTTATAGGAGTAGATATTCGTACTGTTTTATCTTAATCGCAAAATATGCCCAATAAAAACAAACTCCCAAGAATTTCCTCTTTCACTGAGTATCCTAGATCATCATCGGTATATTTGATATTTTAGGTATCCTAGATCATCATCTGTATATTTGATATTTTAGGTATCCTAGATCATCATTGGTATATTTGGTATTTTAGGTATCCTAGATGATCATCGGTATATTTGATAATTTAGGTATCCTTGATCACCATCAATATATTTGATATTTTAGGTATCCTAGATTACTATCTGTATATTTGATATTTTAGGTATCCTAGATCATCATCGGTATATTTGATATTTTAGGTATCCTGGATCATAATTGGTATATTTGATAGTTTAGGTATCCTGGATCATAATTGGTATATTTGATATTTTAAGTATCCTAAATCATCATCGGTATAATTGATATTTTAGGTATCCTGGATCATCATTGGTATATTTGATATTTTAGGTATCCTAGATCATAATTGGTATATTTGATATTTTAGATATCCCAGATCACCATCAATATGTTTGATATTTTAAGTATCCTAGATTACTATCCGTACATTTGATATTTTAGGTATTAGGATATTGGATGGACCTATCACAGATGTATTAGAAGGGAAAGCATTAGAGTTTAGAAGCCAAGATATTGATATATACAGTGCCTCATGGGGTCCAAGAGATAATGGGGCTACAACAGAGGCACCAGGAGCTGCTACAGTGAGAGCAATAGAAAAAGGTGTAAGGCAGGTAAGTCAAAGGAAAAAGGTGTAAGAGAGGCAAGTCAATAGAAACAGGTGTAAGGGAGGTAACTCAATAGAAAAAGGTGTAAGGGGGGTAAAAAGGAGAAAGGACACTATGTAGGCCAGACATATATTAATTCAAAATAATTTCAGACGGAAAAAAAAGCTTCAGGTAATACTATATTCTATGGTTTATATACCATATTAACAATCGGACAATTCCAAAAAGGATCTGTTAAAAATATTTCTGACTCCAAATAATTTTTGCTCTTGACAAAACCAAAAGCAAAGGATCTGTGCTTATACTGCTGCTCTTTGTCTGACGGTCACAGTAAGGTCTTCAACATCATACCAAGTTCAAGATGATCCATAACAACTTTTTGATCAGAATTATTTTATGAATTTCTACAAGGTATCTCTGCATTGAAGACTAGATTTATCTTGAAATATCAGTAAATCAGAGACTACAAGAGGCAGAGAAATCTAACAAACTCACTTTAGACTCCCATCGAAAGGTGTTAAATAAAAAAATGCAAAAATGAATACTGATATAAAATTTCAATTTTGAATAATAATGATTTTACACATAATATTATAGGGTCGTGGAGGAAAAGGTAATATATTTGTATGGGCATCTGGTAACGGTGGCGGCAACGATGACGACTGTAACTGTGATGGCTATGTAGGCATGCCAGAAACTATTTCTATAGGGAGTATAACTGACAGAGGTGGAACTCCATACTTTATGGAGAAATGTCCTTCAACTTTTGCTGTTGTACCAAGTGGAGGAGAGGAACACATTGGAGAAGACGGGAGTAGAACTAAAATTAGAGTTGTAAGTTTATTGACTTATATTTGTTGATATTTAGAATGTACAGTTGTCAACATATTCTACTGTTTTTGGACTTTCAACTCAAAGCAATGCATTTAATGTTCTATTATCTTAGCTACTTTGCCAAAAAAGCCAGTACAATTTTACTTCATCATTTGGCATCAATCCTATCCAAGTCTATCAAAATTAATGTTTTTATCTTTGTTGAGAACCAGTGAACCAGATTTTTGCAGATGTAAAGAATTTCCATTGATTTATTTTTAAGGAAAAAATCTGAAGAACCTCCTTACTCATTTGGTTCAAAACAAAAAGAGGGAATAACACACTTTTGGGATGTAGGATATTGGGGGTAAATTAACGTTGGGATGTGTTATAAAGGGGGAAAAAGTTGGGTGAGGGATATAGGAATTAAAAAAAGGTGGGATTTGGGAAATAAGCACCCCTGAATCACCCTCTCCAAAAAAATAGTTAAATTGATTGATTCACTGCTTGGATAGACGATAAGAAATTGTTCATATCAAACTTAACAGATAATTATATCCTTAAATTTGTCAGCTTTTAATACATTTGCTAGCCTTTTATATATTTATTTATATATAGCATGAACTATTGAAATTAACAGGCCAGGTTTGCTGATGAATCTTGCTGGCCTTTATGAAATGTTCTTGCTTTTTTTCCCTGACAATCCTCATTTAGATATCTGAATTGAAACAAAAGTTTTTGTTTTGTATCTGTTTTAGGTAACAACAGACATAGGAGGGGGATGTATAGAAAACTTTGAAGGAACATCAGCTGCAGCACCACTTGCTGCAGGAGCAATAGCCCTGGTCCTGGAAGCCAAGTAAGTCTAATAAGGTTATCTGCTCTTTGGTCGGGTTATTGTCTCTGACATATTCCCCATTTCCTTTCTCAATTTTATACTCATTTCCTCTTTACTAACCTGCAGGGTCTATGATTTTTTTGTTAAAGCAAGTAAAATCAGTATGACCCAAGGCTAATAGGGATGATGCACTTTCATCAATTTCTCCAATACAATACTGTGGATTCATTATTATTCGTGGGATACAAACTTTCGTGGGTAATGTTAAACCATGAATTTAAATGTTCATTGAAGTATAGATTTTCTAAAGGCTTGTATGCAGACTTTTTGGAAAACCATAAATTCAAATATCTTCCAAGTTTTCCTCAATCCAACAAACATTGGTACACCCTAAAAAAACATTGAATCAAAAGTAAAGACAATTGTAAAATTGAAGATTACATGTTCAAGATATTGATACTGCCCTTGGCTAAGAAATGGGCTACAGTTTGATATAGATAGCATTTGCTTTTTTGCTGGTCCATATCTAGACCAATAGACATACTGTTAATTTAGAAATGTTTACTATGTTTTTATACGCCCGTTTATGGGACGTATTATGGTATACCGTTGACCGTCCGTCTGTCGTCAACATGTCGGACATTAACTCAAAAAAGCTTTAACTAATATGCATGAAACTTTGGTGAATTGTTTATATCTATTGAAGTGAGCTCCCTTTCGTTTTTTATAAATTTCAGATTTACCGTTTCCGAGTTTTGGGGTTTTATTCATTAAAAAAGGGGGGATTTTCCAGTTTTCCGACAATAACTCAAGAATACTTTCACCAACTTGCAAGGAATTTTGGTGAATTGTTTATATCTATTGACATGAGCTCCCTTTCGATTTTTATAAATTTTAGATTTTACGTTTCCCAGTTACAGGGTTTTATTCATAAAAAAAGGGGGATTTTCCAGTTTTCGGACAATAACTCAAAAATGCTTTCAGCAGTTCTCATGAAAATTTGGTGAATTGTTTATATCTGTTGATGTAAGCTCCCTTTAGAATTTTATAAATTTTAGATTTTACATTTCTGAGTTATGGGGTTTTATTCATTAAAAAAGGGGGGATTTTCCAGTTTTTGGACAATAACTCAAAAATGCTTTCAGCAGTTCTCATGAAACTTTGGTGAATTATTTATAGCTATTGATGTAATCTCCCTATTGATTTTCATAAATTTCAAATATGACATTGAGAAGAAATTGAACTTTATTTGTTTATAGTCTGACAACAGATTTACTAAGTATTGCACAACAGCAAGAAATCTTTAATTGAAAATAAATTCAATTCATATAACCAATTTCAAGTTCTTTGACTACATTTATTCAGAAACCTATAATATGTCAAATATTAAATTACAATCCAAATTCAGACCTGTATCAAACTTGAATATTGTGTCCATTTTTGCCCCAACTGTTCAGGGTTGGACCTCTGCGGGCGTATCCAGCTGTGCTCAGCGAAGCAGTTTATTATTATTGTGACACTTCCATTGGAAAGGTTTCCCAAAATTAAAGGTCACATTTTAAATCTTTACTACATGATTTGTATAAAGCCTTTTCTGAATTTGTGTCCATTGTTCATAAAAAATGCACGCTATTTTTTTGGGAATTTTCTGTACATTGACATTAGTAAAGAGGCACTTTAAGTATTTTAACATACACCTGCCATACATTACATATATGCCAACTGTTACAAATTTACAGTGCAACGGTCACTAGCCTACTTGTTAAGGATTATGTTCATAGCCCGTATGATTCACAAAAAAAAAGACATCTCAATTTTGTTTTACTGATTGCACCAAAAAGGGGTTAGCATCTATGCATGAAAAGCTTGGAAAATTGAACATCATTTCACACTTCAATGACTTATATCAAATTCTACTGACATTTAGTTCTCAGTCATAAAACTTGTTATAAGGTTGATAAAGATATCCAATGAAAATATTTCATTTTTCCTAATATAGAGTTAGGAATAAACATTAGAATACTGTTTTTCGCTAAAATTAAAACCGGCATTTAAATATATGATTACATCTTTTGTATGTAGGATTGTGTGAAATGGTAATAATTAATCTCGCTTTGAAAAAACACAATAATAAAAGCACATAAAAAATCCAAAATTTACAGTATAAAGGTATAAGATATTTGTCACTTAAATTCAAATAGATTTGTATTGACACCTTGATAAACAACTCATTGAATAATATATGTAAAGTTTTTGTAACACTTAAGTATATGTATAATGATATATTTGTAGTGGGGATTTGACATGGAGAGATGTTCAACACATTATTGCCAAGGGAAGTAGAATTCCCTCAGTAACAGGAGATTGGGAGGTCAATGGTGCTGGCTATCATCGTAGTCACAGCTTTGGGTTTGGTGTGATGGACGTATCTCTGATGGTTCAGCTGGCTATTGGATGGAAGAATGTACCAGAGGCTGGGAAATGCAATTCATCAGACCATGTTGTCAACAAGTAGGTGTTGTATATTTGGAAATCTGATTAAATTACAGATTCTGTGTCTATTTTCTGCTTACAAGGATATGACAATGCTCTGTTTTACTTTCTGTTTTAAATACCTTTCGGGATCCTCTGGTTTTGTCATAGTGCTATATACAACCTTAAAAATTTGTAAGCAGGAATTTCATTGGATGTTGTCATAATTAGCAGAACAGAAAGAGTGAATGTCAGGATCTGTATTTTAGTCAGATTGCAAATCTAAAGTCTTTGGCTTTTGATACAAAATTTTCAAAAGAATCTGATGTTCAGTATTTGCCGTTTGTTGATGTGGTTCATAAGTGTTTCTTGTTTCTCAATTTTTATATAGATTAGACCGTTGGTTTTCCCGTTTGAATGGTTTTACACTAGTAATTTTTGGGGCCTTTTATAGCTTGCTGTTCGGTGTGAGCAAAGGCTCCGTGTTGAAGTCCGTCCTTTGGCCTATAATGGTTTACTTTTTATAAATTTTGACTTGGATGGAGAGTTGTCTCATTGGCACTCATACAACATCTTTTTATATCTATATAGATTAATAGGTGTATTATATAAAAGATCAACAGGAAACATTCATGGCAGTCAATTCCAATTTAATTTTGAATCTACATGAAAAATTTCGTAAAGTTTTTTTATGCAACTTTTACAAATAGAAAAAAGTCACAAGGAAATCCCAAATAAATCTTAGAAAATATGTCGAAATTTAGTCTTTTCTTACATGAGTACATCTATTATGTTATAAAATTGCAAAAAAGTTGGCTGGAAGATGCTAGATGCCAAAATAAGTTGGTTTACAGTTACTGTTGATTCATTATCATTTCATTCGATAGTAATTTTCGTTGGTTTCTTAGGTAAAGGTGAACCACGAATTCAAATGTTCAAAAAATTACAAATTTTCTGTGTGCTTTGTATGCAGAGATTGACAAAACCACGAAATCAAGTATCCACGAAAAATACAAGTTTTCCTCAATCTACAAAAAATTTATACCCACAAAAATAAATGAATCCACAGTTAATTGTGGAAAAAAGTTCAGTATACACAGCACAATTGAGATCACAACACCATATGATGAAAATATTTACTTAGAAACCATGGTTATAGATATTTGTTAGATTTCTTAAGACTGAAATGGCAGTACATCAAACATTCATATTCAAACCTTAAAAATGTTGCACATTTAATCACATGTGGTTGTACAAAGTGCATATTAAACTGAATTGGCTTACATCATTTTCAAAAACTCATCAAAAGTACCAGGCTTATTATTTAAACATGAAATATTATATTTCTAGAGATGTGCCTGCAGATGGATGCATCACAGAGCATGTAGATATGTCATTTTGTCAGGATAACCATGACACCCACATTGAGCATTTAGAACATACAATGTTATGGGTTGAAATTGAATCAAAGAGACGCGGGGATGTCAGCATCACCTTGACATCACCTTATGGTACTGTGTCACAAATGTTGTCAACCAGGAAGGAAGATAACAGTGGAGATGGAATTCGTTTCCGATTGATGACGCTGAATAACTGGGGAGAAAATATTGTCGGGGAAAAACAATGGAAAATAGAAGTCTGTGACAATGGCAAGGACAGTGCTAAAAATGATGTGAAGTTAGTTAGGTAAGTAATGGAAATTGTAAATTCAAAAATAATGCAAAAAATGCACCAAAATGGTATTGCAATATTATACCGCATCACTATCCTGTAAACATTTCTGTCACACTTTTCTCAGGTACTACCGAACAGAATAACTTTTGGTCAGCTGTTTGGCTGGTACGAGTTGAAATTTTTGAACACTTTTCAGATCTATTAGACATCTTATTCCTGTAAGCTGATACTTTCAATATTTTGAGTAAACTTGAAATTTTATCACACGTTTCTCCAGTGCTACCAAACAGATCAACACCATATGTGGTCTGCAGATTGACTATGATGAGTTGTATTATGTGAATGCTTTTTAGATCTACCAAACACCATTGTTCTGATTGCTTATTCTTTGAATCTTTCAATATGTAAAATTAACTATGTTTTCATAACAAGTTTCTTATATACAAACGAACAGAACAACTTCATATTTGGTCATTAGCTGAACAGTGAAAAGTTGTAAGTTATTTAGGATCTGTCAAGACACCTGTTTTCTGATAGGGTGAAACCTGTCTAAACCGAATCTTGCATAAACTGAAAACCTGACTAAACAAACATGTTCTTAAGTCCAGTCATACCAAATTTTATGAATTGTGAACCTGATTAAACCGAAAAAAATCTTTTGTCCTGAAGAGGTTTGGTTAAGACACTTCACTGGACGTTTAGAAAACATCAATCAATCATTCATTTCTTTCCATACATCTATTAAAAAAACTTAGGGCATCCATATTTTTCCATAATTTTATGTTAAAAATTTATTTATTTTTTTGGCAAGAGAAGACATTTATTGATGTGTAAATTTTGATCAATTCACTCGCAATCAAATTATATTGTGTATTCATTATTATCGTGGGATATAAATCTTTGTGTATTTTGTGTGAACCTTGAGTAATAACTTTCAACCACTTAAAAATTTGTATTGGCCTGTATGCACACTTTGGAAAAAAAACAGGAAATCATATATCCATGAAAATACAATTTTTCCTCAATCCACGAAAATTCGTAACCATGTATAGTATATTGAATTAGCTGCAGATATTGATGAAACTTAATTTATAACAAAAGTTATCATTTTTCTGTTTAACAATCTATTTATAGCTATTCTTTGATTGCTATGGGAACATCAGACAGTCCAAACAAACGTAGTACAGATTCATTTGAACCAAGCAAAGCAGCAGTAGCAGAAATGAAAGAGTTAGAACTCAAAAGAGGAAAACGTCTAGATATGAAAAGACACACAGAAGGATTCAAGAAGTCTGATAAAAACGCTGTAAAGAAAGAAAAAGATGTGAAGAATGAAAAAAAGGAAAAAGAACAGAAATATCTAAAGGATATTATGCATGACGTGTCTTCATACCTACAAGAGAAAGGCTTCGAAGAGAACCATATCATTGATATATTGAATCATGGGATGTCTTACAGTTCAAAGGTCAGAAAAGATCAGGAGAATACCAGACGAGGACTAAGTCGGAGAACATTTGGGGAGGAAGACATTGATCATGATAAGTTTATTGACGGGATGTCAAAAGCTGTTAACAATATTTTTGACGAACGAGAAAAAGAAAGAAGAAAGCAGGCTGTGAGGGAAAAATTAGCTGAGAGAGCAAAAGAAAGGAGAGAACATGCTGAGAAAAAACGGAAGGAACAAGAGAAAGAAAGGAGAGAGGAAATTGCTGAAAAAGAAAAAGAAATAAAGGAACAAGAAAAAAGGGAGAAAGACAAACGTGAAGAATTTGCTGAGAGATACTTAGATGAATTCTTGGAGAAGCCTGGAGATGCAACGGCAGACGAAATGGAAGAGGTTGTCCGTGATCTTCGAAAAATTCTTCAAAACAGGAAATAGCTAAACTGATGAAAACTTTAATACTCACATTCAACAGAATTAAGGGTAAAGGGTTTTATTATCACTTTAAATGATGAATAATATATCTTATATCTGGATGGAAGTAATATTGAATTTAAGTGCCTCTTTCTTTACTATTGTGATAATTTTGATTTTAACATTACTCTCAGATTCAATGAAGACATGACTGTTTAGCCCTTGAGCTGTTTCAGATCATTTAAGGTAGATTCATGGTATACCGCCATCTTGGATTGTACAATCGCAATACAAAATGGGTCTAGTTATTTGCCTAAATCTGCAAATTTGGAGACAGATTTGCAATTTAATGGTTAGACTGTTTATTTATATAAAGAAAACTTGGTGAATTATTGTATTATACAAAATATTCAAACAAATATCATTTGTTTTGTTTTTAGAATCATTTTTCTCAAATGAGCCATTTAAGGAGAGATAACTCTTTTTTTTATACTAGACTGATGGGGAAAGTTTTAATTTTTACTTGTAGCAAGAAAACAAGTTCGGTGACACCATTTTTTCTTTTTATTTTCTTAAAACATATTATAAAACCTATCTTCTCACAATTTATTTCAAAATTCTATCTCATAGAATTTTTTTTATGCACACAAATGTGTTTTTTCATGAACAATCTAACCAAATTAAGGCAATTTTCAACTACTCATAACATGATAAATAGCACGGTGATCCATACTTTTAATTATATTTTTGAAAAAAGCATAGTAAAATCTTCATTCTGGCTAAGTATAAGAAAATTCTATCTAAAAAAATATATACTTATGATCTACCTTAAAAGATTTTGTTCACATTTTGTTCCAATTTCTATTCATTTTGACATATGATCATTTTAAACTACAGCAAAGCAGGGGAGATAATTCACACATTTGCTATTCATAAACTAAAATTAAATGTTGAAGAAGAAAAGAATAATGTCATTCATAAGCTGGTTCATCATTATTATCTCTTGACTATATAAGATTTATCTCAGAATTCCAATATATAAGTGAAAACAATATATTTGTCATGTATTGGCAATAGAACTTCTATGGTTGTGAAAAAAGTCAGAAAAGTTTATTGGTTTGAAGAATTCTTGCACTCATTTATTAAATGGTTGTACAAATTTTGATCTATCACAACATGGTGTCAAATTATAAGTTCATTCAAACATCATAAAAAAACATTGACGTTGTATTGTATGTCTTAAACATTCACATAGAATTGTGCAAGTTCTCATCACTCATAAGAACTTTATCTAATTTGGATGTACAACTTTTGAACTCTTACAAGCTTGTATTAAAATGTTCAAGACATGACAACCCCTTTTTGATAACATGTTGTATGATATTTAAACATTCACAAGTCAAAAAGGAGCTATGCAAGTTAACATCAATCATAAAGCCAAACATATAAACTTTTTGTTTACAGAAGACTTAAAAGTCTTAATCAAGACTAATTTTAATTCATATATCTACAACTTCTACTACATATTTATGATGTTTTTTGGAGATGCAATTATAAATTTTCAAATAAGATTTCTGCATCAATCCTGAAAAAGAAATTAGAAATTTCCTGATTTATGTGGATTCAGGGAAAAAATAAGCAGACAAATAGTAGTTTGTTTATGAAATATGGTGATATTTTATATTTTATAAATTATATAACAAATTTGACCACGTTGAACATCGCCTGAATGGAAACTTGCTTGTTTATATTTTCTATATTTTTTTTTATATTGCTAGAATTATACAAAACCATTGTTGTGAAACATTATCTTTGCTATTCATTGTGCAATTTGTTATTTGAACCAAAAAAATGACAGTTCGTCCCACTGGCAGTCCATCCCACTGACTGTCCACCCCACTAGCAGTCATTACTGCACCATAATATCTGTTCACAACTAAACTAGTACCAAAAATTTGTGACAAACATTAGGCTTGGACTTTCATCAACTGTCTTTCTCAAAATTTATCTAGATTGTCACAGACCATGCTTTATGAGCATTGATTCACATAGCAGAGTCTTTGACAGTCCACAGAACACCTTGTGTAAATTAGTCATTGATAGCCCAGGTAAAACTTGCAAAAGACCCTGGATGTCATTTAAAGTTGTGAACAGTTGTTATGTGACAGATGTGACAGAAAAGGACTGTCAGTGGAATGAAGTCATTTTCTGGTTCATAGTATCTTATATTATATTATGGAATCCTTCTTTGAAGTTACTTGTTTTTAAGTTAGATCTGCAATATTTTATTACTGTTTTTGTAATATTTTATACTTTTGATTTATATATGAAATCCACCCAAGCTACAATAAAACTTTTATTATATATATTTGATTAACAGATTTACATTTGAAATCCATCTGAGTTACTATAGAACTGTTTTATATGTTTATTACCGTAATTAAGAATCAGGAAATCCACCATTTTCATACACTTTTTTGCTATAAAGTGAACCATCAAATAAGAATAAATATAGATTCCTAAACTGCAACAAGTGTATTACAATATTTCTCCACTGGAGACAGTTAAATTTTATTATTTAAAGCGTGAGGCTTGCCGAGCTTTTTAAATAATTAAAATTTAACTGTCGAGAGTAGAGAAATATCGTAATACACGAGTTATGGTGTCGGAATCTGTTTTTCTGATGATTTTTATCCTTCGTTTTTGAAAGATTTTCAGAAACTTGTGTTCTTTATATGCGACGTCATCAGGCATGGTCGCCTTTTTTCATGACACCACAATAGGAAAATTCAGAAGAAAACAAAAAATTTTGACGTCATAATCAAATTTCGACTAATCATTTGCCGAGAACAGATATTTCACTAGTGAGGAGAAATATTTTTCTCACACCGATCAAGAAATGTGAAAATAGCACAAAAATTAGAGAAAATTAGTTTACTACCTTATGAAAGAGCTATATTACTAATTACTAGCCAATCAAATCATAGAAGAGGAGTCTGGTAAAGCATCTTTCAACAAGTTGACAGTTCTGCTGTATAGTCAGCTGTATTTTTTTGTTTTTTTGCTAGATTAAGTAAAATATTAGCTGTTTCTTAAATGTCTATAACAAGATGTCAAAATTTAGATAAAATAATCACTGCTGATTTCATTGTTTTCTGCTTGGTTTACTAAGCACTAAAACAAGATAACAGTTTTTTCATGTACAATTTGACTTGTCATGATTGTAATTGTCTTAACAAAAAATTTAAAAGTGTTAAGCACAGCATAGTTTGTTATTGAACTCATTTTGTTATAATTTTGACTTGAAATTTGAAATTTATTATTTCTTTTGATGTTTTGTGATTAAAAACAAATTCACATATTGTTTAATATACAAATCTCTTTTTGTATGAAAATAAAAACTATTTCTTAAATTTGAGTTATGAATTTTTATTTAAAGAGGTTTTATCATAAAAAAACACCATCTCTTATTCTTTTGCCCAACTGCAAGCAGATGATTCTCTGTATCTTATGTTGTCCAGGCCACTAGCTGTAAATTTGCAACTCAATAAAACTAGATGCTCTACAGGGCCTGTGTCGCTCACCTGCATCTTCAACAAATGCCACTAAAAAGTAAAAATCAGCATTATGGGGAACAACTCTTTTAAGAGTTAACTGACAATTTCAGTAATGTTGAAATTTTGTATCGACTGCAAGACAGGGAATTGCTTTTTCGGCGACGGCTGCAATGACGGCATCAACAATTGTTAAATTTTCTGCTTAAGTTAGTTTGATAGGAACTACTTGTGATAGATCATTGATATATCAGTACATATCAGTTTGACGACAATTTTGAGGCCCGGTCCCGTATGCCATGGTCCGGTGACTGATTTAATTTACCATTTTCAATGCTAAGTTTTCGCTTAAGTTAATTTGATAGGAAGTACTTGTGATAGATCAATGATATTTTGTATGAAGTTGCATTACTATCAGTACATATCAGTTTGACAACTATGTTGAGGCCCTGCCCCCTAGGCCATATGGTTCAGTGACTTTCAATTAATTAGCAATTTTCAATGATAAGTTTTCTGCTTATAAGTTGCATTACTATCAGTACATATCAATGTTAAGTTTTATGATTAAGTTAGTTTGATAGGAACTACTTACAATAGACAATACTTTCAATAAAGTTGCATTACTATCAGTACAAATCAGTTTGACTACTATTTTAAGGCCCTGTCCCTTAGGTCATGGTCCAGTGACTTTCAATCAATTAACAATTTTCAATGTTAAGTTTTACGATTATAACCCACTAGTTGGTTCAGCGACTTTGAATAAATTAGCAATGTTGCTGTCCATCAGATTGTCTTTTTCTGGATTTTATGCCGACAGGCAAGACATATCAAGTTTATTGAAGATCTTATCCTGCTGGTATTTTTTTCCTTTTTTCCTTTTTATTTATCTAATTATTAGTTTTCAAGATGATAGGCAAAAAATGCATAAAAAAATGTAAAAAGGGCAATAACTCCAAAACCAGTTGACTGAAGATTTCGGTCATTATGGCTCATTTGTAGATCTTGTCTTGCTGATCATTTGTGCTATTTAAAGTTTCTATCTATCTATTACAGTTTTCAAAATAAAGGCAATAATGGGAAAAATCGTTAAAGGGCAATAACTTCAATAAGGAGTCGACAAACAATATTGTCAGGTTGACTAATTTGTAGAACTTTGTCTTGTTGATCATTTTTGCTTCGTATTGTTTCTATCTATTGGGATATCATAGTGTTTAAGATATAAGGCAAAAAAAATGGTAAAAATCGTTATTAAAGGGCAATAACTCTAATAAGGAGTCATCTGACGATTTTGGGTATGTGATTTATTTGTAGATCTTGTCTTGTTGATCATTTTTGCTTTATAAAGTTTCTGTCAATATTATAATTTTCAAAATAATAGGGAAAAAAATTTAAAAATGGTTAAATTCGTCATTTAAGGGAAATTGACTGTTTTGGCATAAATAAACAGTAGGTAGAACTCAACATTCTGGAATTGTTTGCTCCTGTTAAAATTTCTCTATTTATAGTGGTTTTCAAAATAATAGGCAAAACTTACATTTTATCCCTATGTTTTATTTTAAGCCATGTTGGCCATCTTGGTTGGCAGGCAGAGTCATCGGACACATTTATTTTTAACAAGATATCCCAAAGATGATTGTGGCCAAGTTTAGTTAAATTTGGTCCAGTAGTTTCAGAGTAGAAGATTTTTGTGAACGTTAACAGTCGAGGACGGATGCAACAGATGCGAAAACCTAACGGCCTTTTGGTCAGGTGAGCTAAAATAGTTGACAGAATACAACCAAACTTGCAGATTCTCCTAAAAAACATTGAGTTGAGCACCTGCTATTTTAACTTTTGATCATGATGATTTTTGAGCTTCCCTGTACCAATTCATGGTCTTTGCCATTTTTGCTTATAATATTGGGAAACAACACACGAACATGTCTTCCTTGGAAGACTCACACATGTTCAGTACTATACATGATTACAAGATACCAATGCAAATTTTATGCACCATGTGTACTTTAAAAAAAATTAATTACCCAAATACTAAAAATTGTTATATGTCAAAGATTGGATAACAAAAAATAGTAAATTTATTAAAATGTCTTGTCTATCCCTATCAATTTTCTGCAGGTCTGTGATATTTTGACCTTTGACAAAGAGTTCAATGATGATACAGCTTGTGATCACTAGAGGACATGACCAAAGGAGTGCAGGAGAATCTCCTTTCAAGATCAAGGTCACAAACTAATGTTTACTTCTTAGACTGTATGTCCATGTTTGTATCTTTTCTATGGTTTGATTTTTTTCATCTCATAGAAAAAAATAATGATGAAATTGTGAATTTCCTCAACCAAATGGTATGCTACAAAACATTGATATTGCTGGAAATTTGGAAGGCACCTGGAAAAAGAGGGTGTGTTAGATAAGACAGAAATTTATTTTGCTATGCAACTTCTACGGACATGTCACTGTACAGATTTGAAGGACAAATACATGGAAACTTCAAAGTCGCCAACTTTTATCATTTACCTAAACTGAGGTAAAAATTCCAAAACCGAAAGTCAAAATTGGAGTGAGGTCATGTGCCCCTGAAAGGTGAGCAGTTAAAGGGAAACCATTGTATTCAAGGTGACATATATTTGTAAAATATGAATTTTTTTGTGTAATACAAAGTCTTATAAAGCATGCTATCATTTTGATGCAAATGATACCTTTGAAAATAAGATCGCGTACATTCTATTTATAGTATGGCTCTGGGCCCGTATGCATAAAGCTACTTAAGTTAAGTTATCCAATCGTCATACTAATTTATCGGTAGGACATGTAGAAAACCCGTCCGTTCGGAACAAATCTTATTCCCTGGTCTCTATATGGTTCCGTATGTCGTTTGTTGATGTATCTGATTTTACTTATGAAAATAAAGGAATGTGTGTATTGCGATAATCTCAGCCATACTCTACAGGGGGTTACACTATAAATTAAGAATAATATAATCTATTTTTTTATGGGAAATATTTGCATGAAATTATTATTCGATTGATTTATATGCTAGTTTACTTATTATATATTTAACAAATTATACAAAGTTTCACATCATTAACTTGTTATGAAATAGACAAAAACCAGACTAATTAATTCCTACCCCTCCTCTTTTATATATATAGCAGTAAAATTGAGAATGGAAATGGAGAATGTGTCAAAGAGACAACAACCCGACCATAGAACAGACAACAGCAGAAGGTCACCAACAGGTCTTCAATGTAGCGAGAAATTCCCGCACCCGGAGGCGTCCTTCAGCTGCCCCCTAAACAAATATATATACTAGTTCAGTGATAATGAACGCCATACTAAACTCCAAATTGTACATAAGAAACTAAAATTAAAAATAATACAGGCCTTTATCAACTAATCTTTATAGTTTCTATGCCCCCGCTGTAGCGGAGGGGCATTAAGTGTAACCTTTGTCCGTCCCGTCCGTCCGTCGCGTACGTCCCAAAAATTTCCGTTCTCTAACTTTAGTTTGCCTCCACCAAATCTTATGAAACTTATACACAATGCTTATTACCACAACAAACAGATCAAGTTTGAATTTGGGTGCATGGTGTCACTTTTACTTTTCTAAAGATATGCCCCTTTACAAATGGAAAAATTGCTGATTTTTTCGTTTCCGTACTCTAACTTAAGTTTCCCTCAACTAAATGTTATAAATCTTATACATATTTTTTTTATGCTTATAACCACAAAACACAGATCAACATGGTTTGAATTTTGGTGGCTTCACTTTTACTGTTCTAGAGTTATGCCCCTTTACAATGGACAAATTGCTGAAATTTTCATTTCCGTTCTCTAACTTAACCTCAACCAAATGTTATGAAACTTATACACAATGCTTATTACCAAAAACTCAGATAAGTACAAATATGGTTAGTGTCACTTTTACCGTTCTTGAGTTATTCACTTTACAACGTTATGTGCAAGCGGGGGATCATCTGTGTCCCATGGACACATTCCCCATTTTTTGTTTTGTTTTTAGTTTTGTGCTGCTACACCATTGTCTCGGGTAAGTGGAAGGTTGAGCGTCCACAAACATTTTTAGCTCTGCCACATTCTTGTCAGGAGTCTGTAATTCAAAGTTAAAATTAGGATGATATTATCCCGTTTGGTTGTTTATCCGGACATACCTTTCAGCTTTTTTTCGAACAATTCTTTGTTTAAAGCTAATTGATGTGTTAACTTGGCATTTCACTAACAAACTTAACATGAAGTACTTCAGACTTTATTTAGTTTGTGAGCGCAAATAAAAAACTCCGTCATGATATCTATAATAATCAATTACCAAAGAAAAGCTATCACACATGAAGCCAGTTACGATAAAAAAAAAACATCCCTACTACCACCATCACCACCATCCATAATCTGCCCCTGCAAAAAAAATGCTTAGAGACAATTAAAGTCAATATTTGGATCGAAGACTTTCAGCCTGGATATCATAAATGCAATTATTAAAGATGGTCACTTTTAGAGTCGGTCTTACCAAATATAGTGATAATCACTCACTCACTCATCCTCTTCGTGCCTGTCAGCACATAAGGCCGCAACAACAAAAAAATGTTTACTAGTCTGGTTTCCGTAACTAGAGTTTTTTTTATGAGACGAGATAGTTAGTCTTGTGCTCAACATTCTAACCTGGAGGCCAGCGGATTTGTAGTTGAGATTCCATTCCCCTAGATCGGTTGCCAGCCAAGGCTTACGAGCCAAGATCTACCCGGATTGGTATCAGAGTTGTCTCTCTTAGATGGATTACCTTACTTATAGTGAGAATGGTATTTCACATTTGTATAACTATAACGTACTCAACTAAAAATTTCAAATAA